TTGAATGACAAAATAAAGTCACTGAAGCAATGAAACAAAAGTTTTTGGTAGAATACATTAAATCAGGAACTTCCAGAAGGTTTTTACTTCATACTATGAAGGATGGTAGAGTTCAGTTTAGAAAGATAAAGCAACCATTAGATAAGAAGGAATTATTGAGAAAGATTAAACTTCATGAGGACAACATTGCTGAACTTAAGAAGAGTTAGAAGAGTTGGAGAAAGGAAGAGAGTTATTAAGAATGAATTCAAAGGGTGAAAAAAAGGTGAAAAAAAGGTGAGATGTCACCTTCACCTAAATTTATTTTTGTGCTATGTTTTCATACGTGTGAGGGTGGTGATATCATTAATTTTAAGTTTATTTTTTATTTTTTATTTATTTTATTAAATGACAGAACAAAAGCAACTCATCAATCGAAACAGTATAAACAACATACATTTAAACATTTATTCTTCCTTCCTGAGATAACATGTTCTTTCATACATCCAGACCAGGAGATTTCATTGACTGTTTTAAAGATTGTATTAGTTATTATAAACAACGTTATGATATGAAGTTAATGTTAACAAGATATGCATTAAAATTGAGAAATTTATGCTTCAAGTATGACTACAATAGGTTAACATGAGATGAAGATATAGAAGAACATTTATTTGAGAACGTTTATTTTTTCATTAGTGATTCGTTAGTGAGTTAGTAGTGAAGTGGTTGGCGGCTTTGTAAATATTTAAGTTAAGTTAGTGTTATCGTTTGATTTGTAAAATATACGTTAACGGTTTTGTAAAGTGTCAAATTTACATATAATGGGTAAGTAGGTGCGCAGTGCCACAGTACCCAACTAACCCATACTAACTATCTTTTCAAAGTTTGCCTCAAAGACATGTCAGATACTATAAAACATACTATCACAGAAGAAGAAATCAAAAAAATTGTACATATTCAATCTGCATTATTTCAACTATTCAACAATCCAGAAAGTCCTCCTTCCAACCTGGAAATTTTACAATCATTAATAGAACGCACATTCAAACTTGGTCCCCCATTGTGGGATTTTTTATGGAGGGATGGGAAAATACGGTCACAACATTTTATTTTTACCCCACTGTTCTTATCATGGCAATCGAAATATTCAGAAGAATTGGTATTCCGCTCTTATTTCATCCGAAGACACTTTTTCCTTAGTATATATATATTAAAACAATAATGAGAAATCTCAAGTGTGTCTGGAGAGAGTTATTTCCGAATGCACATATGATGTTTTTCAACTTTTTCAACTTTTTTGAAATCATTCGTTGTTATATTGATGAATTTTTTCGATTTGTCATAAAAATTGAAAAAAGTCAAGGAAAATGATAGAATAAATATGCACATTTTATAGGCAGTTCGAATGATCATCCAAACAAAATATTTTCAAATAATTATTATTTATCCAATAATTTGATGAATTTTCATTTTTTAAAATAATATTATATTCTTTATTTTTATGCAGTAATTAATATGATTTCAATGATAATTATCATTATTTCTTGACATTTGAGTCTGATAATCTCATTGTCAGATTACTATTCAAATTAAATTTATCGGCGTGAATCGTTATACAGAATTTTAATAGCAAGCTTTTTTTGGTATTTGAAAAATTTTGGAGTTGGCAATTATTAAAAAAGAATAGCAACAGTTGCATATGCAAAAAATATAAAAGAAAAAATAAATTCATTTTTGACTACTTTACACTGATTGATTTTTTTATAAAAATATTCAAAATCTGATCGGCGACAATCGGGATGAGCGATATTGATCCATCTCATCATGTGCAGCAGCTTTTATATGAAAATCAACAACTCCATAATGAAAATAGCGAACTATTGTCAAAAGTTCATGATTTAATATCAGAAGTAACTTCCTTAAAGTCGAGTTTAAATTCTGGGTCAATTATTACTACCACAACAACGGAATACATGGATCCTCCGACTCGTGGAGAAGTTACAACAATGATGCAAAGCATTAGAAAGCAAAGCCAAGATAAAACGGATCACATTAAGAAGAAATATAAAGAAGAATATAATAATCTTTTGAAGAAATACCAAGAACTCAAGGCAAAATACGTATATCTGGAGAGTTTAAAGGAAACTGAAAGAAAAACGGATATTGATTTTCAGGAACACCTGGAAAAAACATCCACGGATCTCAACAACTCTAAAATTCAGATTAACACGCTAAATGACACAATTAAAAGACTTAAAAGTGAAAATAAAGATCTAAAACAAGAAATAACGGATTTAAATTCAAAGATTTCTCAGCAAGATCAGTTTTATAAGACCGATATTGAAAGAATTCGTGAACAACTTACAACATCTAAGATAGATTTTCAACATATGCAAATAGAATTTGAGCAAAAAATTAATAATTTGACAAGAAAGAACTCTTTACTCAGTGATACTAATAAAAAGCTTAAAGATCAGATATCAGAAGCCGAAACTACTCAATCTTTTCTCCAAAATTCAACAAATTCATCAAAGCAACAATTTGAGCAAAGCAAGTCAGAATTACTCCAGAAGATGCAAGAGCTCTCAGATCTTCATGTAAAAGTCGAAACATTGGCCACACAAAATACTAAAATTTCTTCAGAATTAAAATCAGCAAAATTACAACAAGGAGAATACATAGAAAGAATTAATACATCGACAGAAAAGATAAGATCGTTACAGATCGAACGAGACGAAATTTACAACCAAAACAAATTATTTAGAAAACAATTAACAGAAAAAGATAAAGCAATTCAAGATGCTCAACTCAAAATACAAGAAATAGAGTATGAACGCCAATTAGTTCAAAATCAAAGTATTCATGACTCAGAAAGCTTAAATAAAGAAATTTCAAATTTGCAAAAGGAAATTGAAGATCTTAAAGGACAAATTCATAAAGAAAAGTCTATTGAAAAGCAATTGGTTAAAAAACTAAACGATTTCTCAACAAAATTGCAAAATGTAAATACTCAAGTTGTAAAAGAGAGAAATAACCGATCAATTGCAGAAGAAAGCCTCAAAACACTGAAAATTAAGATGGATGAAACAGATACAATTAGAAAATCTATTGAAGAGGAAAGAAATCAGCTCATTGAAAAAATTTCAACCGCAACTTCAGAAATTGAATCAAAGAATAATGAAATCACTGATCTTAACTCTAAAATCAGGGTTTTAAGGCAACAGAACCTTGAAATGGACGAAAAAATGAAATTCTTAGAATTAGACTACAAAGATAAAATAAACAATGCTGAGGATAAAGAAAGAATCAAGCAATTAACAGATAATCTTGAATCAATGAAAAACGAACTTCGAAATTCAAATAATTCAAATAAGAATTTCGAACAAGAGATTCAAGAGCTCAAACTCCAGAATGAACAATTAACACGTGATTCCAATAAGAAGAGTTTAGTTATCAATGACTTAAACAATTCTCTCAAAGAAGAAGGCCAAAAATTAATCCAAGCAATTGAAGAAAGAAAAGATGCATTGTCAAAATCAGAACAATCGAAACAAGAAAATTCCGAGCTGAAGAAAGAAGTTATTAAACTAGAAAACGACATTTCTTTCTTAACATCTCAAATCGAATCCCATAAGAAGACAATTGAAGAAAACTTGAATCTTTCTTCTTCAGAGAAAATCCAATCTGCTCAATTAGAAGACACAATCAAAGATTTGACAATTCAGCTTCAAACTGAAAAAGAAGCTCATCAAAATGCAAAAGACCTCCTTCAGTCATTGACATTGACTGCTGAAGATCAGAAGAGATTGTTGACCGAATCTTCTGATGAAATAAATGGTCTAAAGAAGAACAATGAACAACTCAAAAGAGTTTTAGATGAAAAAGAAACTTTAATTAAAAATCAGATGAAGAAATTCTCATATCTTGATGATCAAATTGCTTCATTAAAGGCTTCTCTTGAACTGGCACAACAATCACAAGATAACGAGAAATCAAATTCATCTAAAATTGGCCAAGAACTTGCTGAATCCCAATCAAAAGTTACAGCTCTTACAACACAGATACAAGCAAATGAAAACATTATTAAAGACTTGAAGGACAAAATTTCTGAGAAAATTAAACAAAATGTTGAATCTTCACATGCTATTGATCTTCAAAAACGTATCATCGAGAACAATGAGAAACAGAAGAAAGATTTATCCGATGAAATACAGCGTCAAAAAGATCATATTTCTAAACTTGAAAACCAAATCCAAAATGGAATGATACAAATGAGTGAAATGTCAGTGAATATTGCTTCAGAACAAAAGGATACAATAAGAAAACTCAATGAATCATTGGCAGATACAAACATGAAACTCAATAAATCAGAAAAGGCTCTCAAAGCAGTTACAAAGAAGATGATTTCACAGCAAGAAGAATTAGATAAGATCAAACTAGAAAACAATGCAAACAAAGCTAACATCAAGAAATTACTTGAAGAAATATCAGAGAAAGATGCTAAACTTGACATGAATGAAGCAACAATCACTGCTCATGGTGAAATAGATAAGAACAACAATAGTATGATTGATGAACTTCGTAAAGACAATCTTATATTAAACCAGAAACTTGAAGATATTCAAAACATCAAAGAGAATGAAAAGAAACAACTTCAAGCAGCATTTAATAATAACTTAGGTAAATTACAGACCCAGCACGCCAAAGAAATTGAAGCTGCAAATAGTCAAATTCTTGATTTACAAAGCAAAGTCACCGAATATGAAACAATTATTGAGGATACTGAGCAGAAGATGAATACAGATTCTCAATCATTGAAGAAATTAATTGATGATAAAGCTAAGCTTGAACAAGAATTGCATAATACTCTTGTATCTCTTAAACAAACAGAAGATTCGCTTAATGTTTCCAGTAACAAGTTGAACCTTGCTCAAGAAAAGATTAAAGAAATAACAGAACAAAATACTGATTTACAAGCTAAATTAGAATTATCAGACGACTGTTTATTGAAGAAATCAGAAGAATTTGATAAACTTGCTGCTGATTTCGATGATCTTCAGAATTCATATAATCAAATCGACGAAGAACTTAAAGAAACGTCTGATAAACTCAGTGAAACATCGAACAAACTTAAGGAAACAGAAGAAACACTCAAAGAAAAAGAACAAATCATTAGCTCTCATGAAAATTCGTTTGGCGAATGCACATCAAAGATCCAAGAGCTTGAATCTCTTACAAAGAATGCCCAAGAAGATAACAATCGCTTACTGAAGGAATTAAAGGATACTCAAGATAAATTCAATAATTCTGAAACAGAAAAACAAAGCTACATTCAGAAATTAGATCAAACAAATACAGAACTTGCTGCAACTAAAGATGAATTGGTCAATTTAACAACAGAGAATGAAAACACTAAATCTGAGCTCGAAAAATCTCAGAAGGCAAATGAAAGTTATCAACAAGAGATCAATTCACTCAAAGAATCATTACAAAATGATTCAATTAATGTCCAGAAGCTCAATGAAGCAAATGCCAAGATCGCTGAGTTAATGGATCAAATCAAACAGCATGGCGAAGAAATGTCTATGTCTAAATCAAATTTTGAAAACAAGAATAAAGAATTGTCAGCTAAATTAGCTTTAACTCAAGAAGAAGGCGAAAAGACAATGAAGATCTTTAAGGAATTGGTTAGTATCATCCGTGGAATCCAAGTTTTGCTGCATCCAGAAATTCAAGTTGACCAAACTGATTATGAAGGTGCAATTTCAGCTGCAAACCAGATTCTTCATGAACTTGAAGTACTCCGAAAGTTCTTAACCGATGCACACCATGATATTGAGACTTTGATTAAAGATAAAGCAAGCTCAAAGGGATTAATTGACAGCTTGAGAAACGATATCAATCAGTTGAATCAACTTATTACTCAGAAAGAAAACGAGATACAGAACCTTAGAAGAGAAAATAAGACTCTTAAAGATGATAATGCCTTCTTAAACGAATCTAAAGCCCAATATGATATTGAACGTGAAAACTTAAATAATGGTATTACTAAATTGAGAAATGCCCTTAAACTAACACAAGAACATCTTAAGACTTCAGAAGATGAAAAGAAGGCATCGAAAGATTTGAATGTTCAGTATAGAATTATATTGGATAAAGTATCTCAAGAACATAATCTCAATATAGCATTACCTGATGATTCTGGAAACTAATTTGTTTTTTATTTAATAACTTTGTTTAAAAAACCTTTCTTTCATAATCCTATTGAAATATATTTGTGTTTGTGACAGAGTATTTCTTCTTGAATAATCTTTAATTAATTAAGAATATTCTTATGAATGTTTATGAACTAATTATATTTATGTGGCTTACCACTTTCTAGAATTCTCTCAATTTATTTTGGCACCTAAGTTTTATATCCCAATTTTCTATGCAAAAAAAGAGTCACATTTTGAAGGAAACAAGTGGTTGCTTATAATAAACATGATATGTATTCCATAGTTTTACAACCTTATGATTTTAACCATTCATAATTTTAATGTCTGATCAAGACTTTCTTCCAAGTAAATACAGTGAGTTGAGAAGTATCTATGAATATTATATAGATTCATATAATGAATTGTATCAGCTAAAAACTATAAAAGAAGAAGAATTACGCCAAATTTACAATTTGATCAAAATAGAATTGATCGATTCAAAGATATATCCTTCCAAAAAGATTATAAAAGACATTTTTTATATTATTCCATATAATAATCGTTACACAAAGTCATATTTATCACTTACCAAACTCATTTGTGATGATTATCATGTGGAAGAGGTCAAAGATATTCCAACTATCTCTAACTACATGTTCTATAAAGAATATGGGATCATTTTAGACAAATCTGAAGATTTCGAAAAAATTAAATTTATGAATATAGATATTCATTCAGAGAACACAATTTACAAAGCAATTATGCATAATGATCTAGAAAGATTCATTACATTTACAGAAATCGAAGGATTTAATAAAGATAAAAAACTGCGAAGCGATTTATATCCATATTTTATTAAGGGATATTCTTTACTTGAATTATGTTGTTATCACGGATCAGTTGATTGTTTCAAGTTATTAAGATCTAAATTTAACTCAGAAATAACTCAAAAATGCCTTCAATTTTCATTTTTAGGAGGGAATCCAGAGATCATGAGTGAATGTTTGAAACATCAAACACCAGATGAATTTTGCATGAAATATGCAATTATTTCACACAACATTGATTTTGTTACATTCTTGCTGAATGAATATAATATTCAAATTGATTTAGAATGCTGTGGCGAATATAACAATATTGAATCATTTTTAGTTTCTTTTGATCAAACTTATGATCTTAACAAATTCTTTGTTTATTCTACAATATTTAATATTTCATCACTTTGTGAATATTTCCTTTTGAATGGTGCAAACATCAATGCGAAAAATATAGATGGGAAAACAGCTCTTCATATTGCTACATCTAAAATTAACAATAATAAAGAAATAGTTGAACTTCTTCTTTCACATGGTGCAAATATCAATGAAAAAGATAATTATGGGGCAACTGCTCTTCACAAAGCAGGATACAATAATAATAAAGAAATAGTTGAACTTCTTCTCTCAAATGGTGCAAATATTGATGAGAAAAATAGTTTTGGAAGAACAACTCTTCATAATGCAGCATGCTATAATTGTCAAGAAATAGCTAAACTTCTACTGTCACATGGAGCAAATATCAATGCTAGAGATAATGATGGAAGAACCCCTCTTCATTATGCTACAGACAGTAATAGAAAGGAATTTGTTAAATTACTTCTTTCTCAAGGGGCAAACATCAATGAAAAAGATCTAAATGAAAGAACCGCTCTTCATATTGCGGCGGCTAATTGTAGTAAAGAAATAGTTGAACTTCTTCTTTCATATGATGCTAAAATCGATGAAAAAGATAAAAACGGAAGAACTGCTCTTCATATTGCGACGAAGAATTGTAGTAAAGATATAATTGAACTTCTTCTTTCATATGATGCAAATATCAATGAAAAAGATAAATCGATGGAAAATAAATGCGGAAATACAGGACTAGAAATGGCTAAGTGATTATTTAGCAGGGTAAGTTTATCAATTCTTAAAAAGTTAATTATATTCGTTCTAATTAGTAAACCAATAAAAAATACTCGTATATCCAAACTAGTTGGACGAAAGGTAGACAATTATATTGAATATCAAAAGTATGATTATTTTGGGAGGACTCATTGAATTCCTTTCAATATTGTCCACCTTTGGGTATGCATTAAGATAATGCCTATTCCATTGGAGCCGTACTACCATTGCTGATAGAAGAATCAGATGGCGCACATAGTGTTGTAATACATTCAAAGACAATTACTCCAGATCTTGTATTCAAATACTCTAAGCTAGGAAATCAAACAGAAAATGAAATCAAAAACCATATCGGCATGGAAACTTATTCCCCAGGTTTACAAATTCCATCCAAATACTTTACAAGTTCTCCATACTATAAAAATGGTACTCTAACAAAATATTTGCACGAAAATCCAGATTTAACCAACCATGAACTTGTTGAATTAATTCAAAAAATTAGTAATATGATTCAAGCATTACATGCTAAAAAAATTCTTTGCAGAGATCTTAAGCCAGATAATATTCTGATGGATGACGATTTTAATCCTGTTTACGTAGATTTTGATGTATCAGAGTATAATTCGCTAACAGCTTATGATTTTACAGGAACACCTTTTTATATGGCCCCAGAAGTACTGAGAAATCGATTTCGTGAAGCTAGATACAGTCAATGTGGTACTGAGTCAGACATTTTTTCACTTGGGTGTGTAATAAATTTCATCTTCAATCAAAATTATCCATATACAAATTTGACACCTCTAATTCATCCAGATATCCGTAAACTAATTTTAGAAATGACCCACACAGATGCAAAAAAACGTCCATCAATATTTGATGTAATAGCAGAATGTCAAAAAATTGAGGAAAGCTTTTCTAAAACTGAAAAAAATATAGAAATATTTGGGATTCTAGTGCCCACAGAGATGGGTTTGAAGCTAATTGACGATAATAAACAAGGAATAGAAGCTGAATCTATTGATGCCATTAGTTCACAAGAAACAGAAGCTGAATCTATTGATGCCATTAGTTCACAAGAAACAGAAGATGAATCTATTGATGCCATTAGTTCACAAGAAACAGAAGATGAATCTATTGATGCCATTAGTTCACAAGAAACAGAGGATGAATCTATTGATGCCATTAGTTCACAAGGAATAGAAGATGAATCTATTGATGCCATTAGTTCACAAGGAATAGAAGCTGAATTTATTGATACCATTAGTTCACAAGAAACAGAAGATGAATCTATTGATGCCATTAGTTCACAAGAAACAGAAGATAAATCTAGTAATAATAACAATACAACAAAATCCGAAAATGTTTCTATCAATGATGTCTATTTAAAAATTCTCAACATTCACAAAAAATATAATTCTCAATGGCCTGTTGAAATTTCTCGAAAAATTAATGTTATTATATCTCCACTTGGCAAAAAAATAATGGCAATCCAATTATTTGTCATTGACGATTTTGATGATAAACGTAGTTATAGCAATGAATGTTTGAATGAAGTATTGCATGATCTTCAAGCATTATTGAATCAATGAGTTCGATTTAAAGGAAAATTGTTTGCCTCAAAAATACACTAAACTGCAGTTTAATTGTCAAAAATCAAAAGATGTATGTTCTTACGGATGCGTCCCCCGATAGAAAAAAGGCCGATTCTTTACTCCCTCTGTTGTTAATGAGATATTGTTTGTTTGTTTTTGCATAAATAGAATTTTTCAATAATTTTTGACTGATAATAAGATAAAACTTTTATATTTCCTTAAGAAATGTCTTCTCCATAAGAATTATCAAAGGGTTTGAATATAACGGAAAATTGAATTTTGTGAATTTTTTTATGTCATTTTAATCATGTCTACTAAGGGTTTCGTTTTGCGAAAAAACGTACAATACGCAATTTCGCTAAAAAAACATTTAGCTAGCAATTTCGACCTTTGACTCCACTCAAGACGTCACTTTTTTAATTTTGCGGTATCATATTTTTGGAAAATCTTTATGAATATTATATAAAAAGTCGCTTTAATATCTATATTTCATATTTTTATCGATTTTTAAAGTTTTTGCGAAAAGTATTCAATTATTTTTGCTATTTGGTCGGGTAAATGTCAGATTTGCGACATTTTCTGATATGATATTCAGATTCTACGTTGATAATAATGCTTATAGAACCCTCTTGCTATTGTGTCAAAATTGCGAAACCGATAGCAAAAATATCTCGCAATATCAAAATTGAGATATTGAGTGAATTATGCATTATAGAGATTAAAAATCTGATTTGTGAAAACATCTCATCAGTTTCTAGCTAATTCAAAAATCTTTACTATCTTATTCGATTAAAATGAAAAGGGAATAGTTTCATTATGCTTTAAAGGATAGCCTTATAATATAATCATAGTTTTCGCTCAATATGCAGCATTTTTTTTTCGAAATCTATGGTCAATATCCTAAATACTGATTGCTTTGCATTCATATCTCTTACATTTTCTATACCCACATCACTATTCATTGCTATTCCTATCTTTTTCATTTTTGTTTGTTTCTCATAATTTCTCAAAAAACATGATAACTTGATATTTGTAAATATCATACTTTATAACGTAAATAAGAACTTGACCTATTAAGAAAAGCAGTAATGAAAAGAAAATCTGAAATTCATAAAAATTACAAGTTTCTGATGACAATTAGCTTAATTAAACCAGGTACAAGATTATATAATTGTATTTTCTATCCAATTATCCATATAATATCTTATCCAGAAAAAATAACTTGATCAATACCAAATGATTTTTTAACTAGTAAATAAAATATTTTCTTTACACACACATTGTATATCATAGTTTTTTTTTTTGGTTTCGCAAAACATCCAAAAACAAATATGCTATAAAAGTGACAATTTTAGCAAAACGAAACCCTTATGTCTACTAATATTTCTAATTGTACTATCTATATAATTGTTCAAAAAATTCAAATTCAAATTCCAAGAATGCCAAATCTTACTGATGATCAAACTATTTTTCCTCAACAAGCTGCATTAATTCAACGCTTTGGTCCTAAAGGTGATATTCTTGCAACATCTCAAGGAAATAAACTGTTTTTGTATCAATTTGATAAAAATCTACTTGCAAATCCACAAATTATCGATTTAAACAGTTCAATTTTCAAAATAATTCCGCTAATAGCACCCTCAGGCTCAAAAATACTCGTAATATTTACTAACTTCTTATCTTCGATTTTGAATTGCGCTGCTGATGGTAATATTAACATAACACCATCAGCAAACTTAGCCCCTCAGAGTTCTAATGTACCATTAGATCAAATTAAGTTTGCATTAATACCAGGAGCTTTAATTTTCAATTTTAATAAAAATCAACTCACCGTAATTCCTATTAATGCTGCTAATGAGATTGGAGTTCCATTTATTGTTACAGTTTCGTGTAGTTCGATCATTAGTTTTGTTTCTTTAAACCAAAATAATCACTCAGCACGACTTGCAATACTAACAGAAGAAAACCACGATAACCCCAAGATTAGAATTGTTGATATCGACTTAACTAACAAAAAAGGTACAGAAGATCAAAAAATTGCAATTTCACTTCCTATTGATGCATATATGATTATTCCGTATTTACTTGGCAGCAATCCTATTATTATCTGCTTTACGAATAATAAAGCCATTTTCAATACTTTCATTCCAAATCAAGTTCCAAAATCAACAGCGTATCCATTTTCGAGTCAAGCAAAGCTTGGATGGTTTGCACAGATGAAAGATAACTTTTACGTATTCATTGACGAAAGAGGTTCAATAAAAATATCAGAAATTTCAGAATTTGGAAATTTCACAGTTTCAGATCGAGGAAAAACTTTAATTCCATCATCAGTTATTGCATTAAATGGTAGTGTCCTCTATGTTACCGCGAAAGATGGTCAGGCAGTTCTTCTTGAAGTTACAAAACTAAAAGTAGAAAAAAAGATGACGATTGAAAAAGACGGATCAATCAAAGAATTGCAACAAAGTAACACGCAGCAGACATCACAACCTAAAACACCCAAATCTAAATCTGAAAGACCTTCTCCATTAAGATCAAATAAAAATTCCTTCCAAAGTCCACCATCCAGTCCCATACCCACCGAAAAAGATCTTTCCAAACAAATAGAAAGGCTCTTTGAAGTCCCTGATACAGATATCGATCCAATTTCTTTTAATGATGCAAAAGCATTAAATCGCGAGACAAAAGACGCTCTTGCATTAGCATCTTTCTCCAAAGAATGGGATCAGCAGTTACTCGCTATTCAGAAACTAATGTCCTTAGTTAAAGGTGGAGCTGCTGCTCATCAAACTTTTCTCACTTTTCAACCACAATTTTTGCCAATTATCACTGAAAACGTAACAAGTCTTCGCAGCACATTAGTCAAATATAGTTGCCTGTTCGTTGCTCAGCTCGCCATGTCTCTTGGAAGTTCTTTCGAGACAACAGCCGAACAAATTCTTCCAACACTTTTTAAACCAACTTCAAATGGAACTCAAATCATCGCAGATTGCTGCAAATGTGCTATTTTATCTATCTGTCAATACGTCACCTCAACTAAAATCGCCAAAGCCATGGTTGTACAGATATCTTCAAAAGCGTCTATACATAGAGTCATTTGTGCAAAAGCGTTTTTGATAATGGCAAAACAATGGGACCAAAAACTTGTTGAAAAGATGAAACCTTTTCTTTTACCTGCTGTTGATAAACTTGTAGTTGATGCATCTCCTGAAGCTAGACAGATATCAAGAGAATGCAAAGCTTTGCTAAATCACAAACAACCAAATGCTGAAGAAAATAAAAGAGAAAAAAATTCAAGAAAAAATGGAAAAAAGAACCAAAAATTCAATTTTCAAGAGAAACCACAAATAAAGTTAGATGATGTTAAACAATACATCATAATGGGTGATGAAGCATCTCTTAAAGAGAATGGAGAAATGGTTGCAAAAATTATTGTAGATGGAATGCTTTCGAATTCACCGTTGTTGGCCAATACTTGCTTAACATTATTCCCTAATACAGTAACAATCATTCCTGACTCTTATAAGCCAAGAGTTCAAAGTTTGGTCAATGCAATTTTAATGTATGATAATTCAACGGTCAGAAAGCATAAAGAATTAGCTTATGATGCTTTTAATGCAGCAGGAAATAATATTTCACCAAGTATGGTCGTTGCTGCTGCAATTAAAAATATTCATGTCAAAGATTCAATGGTTTTGGTCACAGATTTTTATAACAGAAATGAATCTTTGATTCCTGATGATGTAAAAGAAGAATATGAGAAGATATTCCCTAAGCAAGACAATGATTCAACATTAGTTTTCGAATCAGGTCCAAATTCACCAGAGAAACCACATCGAAGAGCAGTAGTTTTTGCAGAAAATCCACAAATACCTGAAGTTGTTGTAGGAAATATTGATGAAGAAGAAAATAAAGAGCAAAAAACTTCGATTTTAATAAATTCCGAAAAAGAAAAACCAGAAGAAGCGAAACCAAGGCCAAGATTGACATTTGTTTTGGATAATATTCCAAACTTCCCTCCAAAAGAATCACATGAAGAGGAAGAAGAAACTATTGATCCAGAACAAAAGAAGAAAGACGAAGAACAAAGAAAGCAACCATTTGAAATGACAACAAAGAAACTTGATTTATCTCAAATTAATGAAGAAAATCCAAAACAAGCACAAGAAATCGAAAAACTACCACAAGAACAAATCCAACCAAAAGAAGAGCAAAAGCATGAAAATACAGAACCAAGACCTTCCAATATTATGAATACTCCTGATAAACAACCACAAAAACCAAAGATTTCAAATAATGATGAACAAATTAAACCAAATAAGAAAGAAACTAAGCCAAAAGAAGTTGATTTAAGACCATCAGCGAAAGCCAAAGATAATATTAGGCAATCACCAACTAAAGCTCCATTTGCAACTGATTTTGATCAACCTCAAGATTCATCTATTGGAGAAACTCAACTTCAGAAGCTTATTAAGCGATTAGAGAATCCAGAGATTGCTGACAAATCGCCAATCATCATGAGAATTGCTCAAATTGCTTCAAGATCAGGAAGCAAAGAATATCAAACAATTCTTCCTTCAGTTTTACCATTTTCTCATTCTCAATTTGCAGATGACGCTGCATTAGTTGCAAGCGCGATAATTCGCAGTGTTTCCCACAGCAAGTTGCTTGAGTTTGGAGCTTCTCTTTTAGCACAATGTCCAAGAGAAGCTGCTGAATTCCTTGGCAGATTATCTCATCAATGTTCTCCAGGAGAAATTATTGATGCAGCACCTCTATTCATGGGCGGATTGAAGAATCTTGCTAATGACAAAGAGGCCGTTATCAGAAAGGCCGCCGTTTTTTGTATCTCTGATATGTGGATTTCTGGTGGAGATGATTTCATCCAGGAAATAGAAATGTTACCAGCCTTGACCAAAAAACTTGTCACTCATTACTATACAATCCACAAATAATATATTTTTCTTGTTATTTAATAAATCTTATTTTGTAATTTTTAAAATAATTCTACATGTTCAATTTAAATGAATTAAAACATGTTCTGGAAAAAGGCATTTGAAAAATATCAAGAAGTTTAAGGGTGCACTTTCCACTTTTTGACATGCTCCCATAATATCAATATATCGTTATTGTGATTGCAAAAAAGTATAACAGTAATATAAGGTATTATAGAATGAGTTAAAATAACTTCTTTCCGAACAAAGTTAATGACGTTTTACCTTAGAAAATTTGAATAAAAAACTATAATGTCAAAAAATTGAGAGAATGTCAGAAAGCTGTAAGTGCACCCTTAATGTGGCCAAAATTCCGGTCAATTTAAATTTAGTTAGACAATTTTGGATATTTATATTTAGCTTTATTAGTTATCATCACTTTATTTACAATTGATATCTGTATTTTGTTTAAGAAGAAGTTCAAGTGTTTCTTTACTTCTATTGATTGCTGCAATATGAATAGCTGTATATCCTTGTTATCTTTTTCATTGATATTTACATTTTGTAAAAGAAGAAGTTTCACTATTTCTTGACTATTATTGAGTGCAGCTAAATGAAGAGCTGTTTTTTCATATCTATTTTTTTCATTGATATTTGCACCATGTGAAATTAGAAGTTCAGCTATTTCTTTACTATTATTATAAGCAGCCTTATGAAAAGCTGTTTCACCTTCTTCATCTTTTTCATTAGCATTGACATCATGCAAAAGAAGAAGTTCGGCTATTGCTTTATTATTATTGATTGCAGCAATATGAAGAGTCGTTTTTCCATCTTTGTCTTTTTCATTGATATTCACATCATAAGAAAGAAGGAGTACAACTATTTCTTTATTATTATTGAGTGTAGCAATATGAAGAGCTGTTTTTCCATTTTCATCTTTTTCATTTATATTTGCACCTTTTGACACAAGAAGTTCAACCATTTCTTTACTATTATTGATTGCTGCAAAATGGAGAGCTGTTTTTCCGTCTTCGTCTTTTTCATTTATATTTGCACCATTTGAAAGAAGTAATTCAGCAATATCTTTATAGTTATTGATAACTGCCATATGAAGAGCTGTTTTTCCATATTCATTTTTTTCATTGACATTCGCACCATTTGAAAGGAAATATTTGCAAAGAGATAGAATATCAAAATTCGTTGAATAGACAAAACATTTGTTAACATCATTAGTTTGATCAAAATATACAAGAAAAGATTCAAGATTATTATATAATACACAAAAATCGATATTGACCTCTAAATTGTATTCATTCATCAAGAATGTGAAAAAATCAATGTTGTGTGATATTATTGCATATTTCATACATTCTTCATCTGGTTTTTGATATTTCAAACATTCACTTATGATTTCTTGATTTCCACCTAAAAATGAAAAATGTAAACATGTTTCAGTTATTTTTGAGTTAAATTGCGTTCTTAAAAATTTGAAGCAATCAACTGCTCCATGGTAACAACATAATTCAAGTAATGACAATCCATGTTTAAACGAAAATTCTCTAACTGGAGTTGGATATAAATTGTTTACAAGCCTTTTATATGCATCAAATCCTTTTCTTTCTGTGAATGCAATGAATTTCTCTTTGTCATTATCCATAATTGCTTTATAAATTGTATTTTCTGAATAAATATCTTGGATTTCCGATTCAATGTCTTTGATTTCATTAGATTTGTCTAAATGAATTTCATATTCTTTATAAAATAGGAAATTAGAAATAATTGGAATATTTCTGACATCTATTACATGATAATCATCAGATATTTGTTTAGCAAGTTTTAAATACGAATTTTTATAGCGGTTATTAAACGGGATAATATTTAAAATATCATGCATAATATTTTTGGGATGATCTTTCTTGGAATCAATCAATTCTGCTTTGATCATTTTGTAAATCGAGTATAATTCTTCTTCATTTTCAGTTTTTAACCGGTACAATGCAATATATAAGTCGATATTTGTTTGATAGTTACTTCTCAATTCAATAAATTCATTTGGAGCAACGACTTGATCAAACATTAATATAATTTTGCCACTTTTCGATTTTTCAAGCTTGAAAAAAAAAGGACAGGTACGATAACAAATTTATGTTGAAAGGGATGAAAAGTGTTAAAAGAAAGAATATCCCAAATCGTCTAATAAAGCTTGAGCCTATGGATAGGCCAACAACCTCTCACAGTGGCTCGAGAGATAGTGGCGAAAATCGCAATTCAATTTCAGCGAATATGAGTATGTCTAAAATTATCGATATTGGTGAAATGAACAAATCACCATTTGAGCAAGTAAAAGAGCAACTTGACTTAGCTGCAAATCCAATCGATTTAGAAGATGCGTTATTATCTTTTGCTCAAGCAGCTCAAGGTATTATTGATACAACTGGATTGAGCAAAGCTGATATTGATGTCTACAATCAAATGTCGCCTAAATTTTCTGCAATGATTGACTCAAAAGACGTTGAAAACGGAAAACCACTTGATAAGTCAGTGAGAATCACCTCTGCGACATTTATACACATGTTTGAAGGTTTGCGCATAATATCTAATAACATTTCGAACATTTTACGCCCAGCAACAAGAACATCAGCAAGGACACCTAATATTGTTACTCCAGTCCATGGAAATGTTGGCATTAAGGCTGTTCTTCCTCCTATCAAGCCGGCATGCCCAGCAACAGAGCGCAAACCCGAAACTCCGCGAAAGAATGATTCTCCGGTCGAACACTTCCAAGGCATAATGGCGCGTGATTTATTCCGTATTTCAACCAGAGAAGAGAATGACTCCTTCTTTTTGTCCTCAGATATACCAGATGTCTTAATTGACTTGATATTACCAGACAAACCTGTTAAAGTCAGAACATACGCTGCAAAAGCAATAAAGAACGCTACGAACAACGAAAAATTCAGAAAACTCATTGTCAGTCTTCCAAATTTTGATGCGGTTTACACCTTGCTATCATACCAGGACAAAAACTTCAACGCTATCTGGGATGTCGCTAGTGGAATATTCCGAAATCTCATGATAGAAAAGGAAAATCATGAGCAATTCATCAAAAATAATCTTCATATCCATTTAATGACGTTTCTTCTCAAAAATGTTGGTCTTAACGATCCAATTATACGATCAATAGCTACAAACTGCTTCAGTGTTCTCAATAAAGTCTCTGGTTTCGATGATATTAGAGCATCTTTACTAGAAAACTTCACTCCTCATCAATTAGTTACGATATTCCTTTACTACATGAAGATTACAGATAAATCTGCACTCGTACAACGTCTAGCTTACGTCTACGCCGACTTTGCCTCATATGAAGATTCAATTTTAGAGGAAAGTGCCAAAATAACAGACCCAGTAGACGTTGCAATCCTTACAGATAAGCTTGCTGCTGATTTCCTTGCGAAAGATGACCTCGCATTAGCTTATATTCTCCAAGTTATTGCAAATCTTTCAGTTGACAAGGAATGCAGCCAAATACTATCATTATCCGATAACATACCTCCACTCTTTGCACGTTTCAAGTACGGCGCAAACGAACGTGCCGGTCTAAACCTACTTTGCGTTGCTGCAAATTTCACTTCACATGATCCAATGTGGTGTCCAAAGGAATTGATCGATGCATTACCTGTAGCAATTGTTTCCAAGAACCTGCAGAGTATAATAGAGGCACTTAGAGCACTCTGCAACTTGGCTTTGGCTCCGAATGATATTATAATTTCCTCGAAGCTTCCAGAATTGCTTATTATCCTTATCAGACATCCGTCTAGTGAAGTTGTATGCTATGCATTGCAGACATTGACGAATTTGGTGCCACAAGGCGGAGTTCGAAGAAGATTTAGAGAAGCTAAAGGAGTTGAAGCCGTTTTGGAGGCACTGGATGTTGATGAGATTGATGAAGCTGTACTGGAAGCTGCAGCAAAGCTTATTATGAACTATGGAGCAATTTCATCTGAAGAAGCTTCACTTTTCATCGAAAAACTGTCAGAATTCGATTGCTCTGGTGTAGATATTGTCGATGTTTTCAAGGATTTCCTAAGAAAGCAAACACTTGTTTCTGTTTAAATAAATTTTCTCTTTCTTATTTGTATTTCTTTAGTTTTTGTTACAAAACGAAAAAATAACTTACAGAATGAACACCGTTTGTTGCTAAAAAATCTGCCAGCTAAAAAACGGTTATTCTCCCACAAAAAATAGCAAATCAGTAGTTTTGAGTATCGCCCCCATCTAAAATGAGTATTTTTTGACGCTCGGGTGTCAAATCAAATGAAATGGCTTGAGACAAAAAAGGAAGACCCATTCAAATCTCATGTTTTTTGTCATTTGCAACCCCTACAATTTGTAGCTAATTTTTGGGTCACATTAATAGTATATAATACTCTCATAAAGGAATATTAATAATTTTTTCTGTGAAAAATCAAAAATAGTTACCTGTGTGGTTTCAATATGGATTGGCCTATTTATTTCTTTTAAAAATTTGACATTCTTATCAATCATGAACTGTCCTTTATGATACATTTTACAATGTCATTGAACTTCTCAAAATTTAAGAAAAATTTTATGAATGAGCTCGTAAAATGCATATTTTTAAGCCAGACACTATATACTTGACTGAAGGGCGAGCGAAGCTACCTGAGATCTGAAATTATTAAAACAAATTGATCATAGAGCCGTAGTAAGTTTTTATCATCATACTATGTATCTCAAAACATTATTCAACTCATTCGGACAATATGAAACGTAATAATCTTATTGTTTTAGACATCTCTATTGTTAATATGTCAGTTTAAAACTATGATCTTAATCTTAAATTCTTAAATTAATGTCCATTTTTCATTTAAGATACTATATTCAAAAAATGAAAGGGTGTTTCTCTCAAAATTGAAGGGATACCATTCAAATTAAAAAAGCTCTCAAGAGGTATGCTGACTGGAATAAGGTTAAGTTTTTCTCTTAACGTCATTTTTAATGGCCACGGCTAGAGCCAAGCATAACATTATTTTAGAAACAAGTAAAGTCATTAGAAAAAGCACTTCATATATTATGTTTTCGATAGTAACATAATAGATGTTTTCGCTTTTATACAAAAGATTTATCAAATTTATTATCATATATGTTATTCTTCTTTCATCTTTACGAAAATGCCATAGCATTAAGATACTCGCATGGGAGATTACTCAAACGTATATGTTAAAATCCTAAATTGTTAACTTTTTTTTGTACAGGTGGTTTTCCTTGTAATAACTATAAAACATATAGATTCATTGTAAGTATCACCTTTAGAATAGATTTATTTAAAAACTATCAGCCAAAAAAAAGTTACCCGTATATTCAATTACTGACTTATTCAAAATAGCAAAATTAATAATACGATAATGTTTTATTGCATTATGGTATGCATAATATTTAACTATTTAGTATGTCTTATGAAATTATTATTTTATTTTTTTTTATTATTAGGAATAAATTATCTTAATACTAGTAAATAGTTCATACATTTATGTAATTTAGGTATTTTTGCTCAGAAAGCCTAATTGATTAGTGCAAACTGATCATTTATTCGCTCATTGAGAAAGTATTATCAAAACATGCAAGTTATTTGAGATTATTATAAACTTCGGATTACAATCTGAATGGTTTAATTTCAATCATACTTCATGATGATTAATATAATATTGTTATTCATTATTGTAATATATGAAATTTAAGCATTAATATTATTTTAGAACTTAAAATAATTAGTTTTTGTCGATTCATAATTCGAATATATCAGCTAAATATGTAAAAAATTTAAAAAATTTAAAAATAGCAAAAATAATCTGAGCATAAAGTATATGCAAATTACTAATGCATTTTCCTCAAAATTGGCTGATAGTTTTTCTTGCATGTTCATACAAACATTGCTCACAAGCATGCATAGAAGCTATATTCAAAATTTGGGGGCATTTGGCCTGTATCAAGGGTAGTCAGCATACCTCTAGCTCTCAACTGGTACCATTCAAAATCCCTCAAAAATATTGAAAAGATTTTAGGTGCTACTAACTATTTTTCATAATTGATTTTAAAAGATATTTTATGGTAAAATGCAAATGCGATACCGTTAAAATTTAAATACAATAACAAGTACATATCATTTCCATATATGTTTATCTTCAAAACTCTATCATAAAATTGATTCTAAATTGCATATGCAATAAAAATCAAGTTTTATAGATTAACACATTGAAATTGCACTTTGTACAAAATATAATGCTTGTACTAATAAAATATTTTAAACAATTGTAATTAATCAAATATGAAATTTGTTGTGAGACACTTCTAGACCAGAAATTGAATTATGAATAAGAGAAAGACAAGTTCTGATCATAGATAAACATAAGGCATCAAATATTATGTCCTGTAAAGAAGTACGAAAAAAAAAGCCTCCTTTACTTACTTATTTGGAGTATAATTTATGAAAAGATTCTAATGTATAAAATCTTAATGATTCATTTAGTAATGATTAAACTCTGAAAAATTCATTATTTTTGAAATTACAACTTATATTTTTTTAAAAAAATAAAAATAAAAACAAGTAAAACTACATTCATGTTATTGATTATCTATTATATACATTTTATGATAACGGAGAAGCTAATTTATTATTAAGGCAAGTCAAATTGCAATAAATGGAGTTACATACTCTGAGAATTTTGCCGAATTGATGACTATATGCATCAGATTCATTAAATACTTTTATGTTCTAAGTACTATCTCTTGAAGTCTAATCTATATGTAACTCCAAGCTGAACAAAGTCCAAAATTCTTAATGTTTGAACAAGTCATTCACTCAAATAAATACAATGAATTGAGAAGTATATATAAATATTATATCGATTTATATATTTCGTTGTATCAGCTGAAAACGGGAAATGAAGAAGAATTAAAGTCGATTTACAAAATGATCAAAACAGAATTGATTGATTCAAATGGATATTCACCGCAAATGATTATGAAAGACATTTTAAATATTATTCCGTATAATAATCGCTATACAAAGTCATACTTGTTTCTTACAAAATTAATATCTGATGATTATCATGTCAAATATGTACCAAATATTCCAACTATTTCTAACAACATGTTTTATAAAGAATATGGAATCATATTAGATAAATATTTCAAACCGAGGAAAAGAGAAGAAATACAAGATATTCATGAAGAAAATACAATTTACAAAGCAATTATGCATGATGACATCGAAATATTCATTTCCTTCACCGAAAGAGAAGGATTTGATAAAGATCGAAAACTGGGAAGCAATGCATATCCAAATGATTATCAATGGTATTCATTACTTGAATTATGTTGTTACTATGGATCAGTTCGTTGTTTCAAGTTTTTAAGAACAAAATTTAACTCAGAAATATCTTATACATGTCTAAATTTTTCTTTTTTAGGCGGAAATCCAGAGATCATGAGTGAATGTTTGAAACATCAAACACCAAATGTATATTGCATGGAATATGCAATAATTTCACACAATATTGATTTTGTTACATTCTTGATGAATGAATACAATGTTCAAATTGATTTAGAATGTTGTGGAATATATCACAATCTTGAATCATTTTTAGTTTATTTCGATCAAACTAACAATATTAACAAATCCTTTATTTATTCAACAATGTTTGATATTCCATCCCTTTGGGAATACTTTATTTTGCATGGTGCAAATATCAACGAAAAATATGTAAATGGAGATTCAATTCTTCATAAAGCAGCGTGGAGAAATAATAAAAAATTGATTGAACTTCTTATTTCACATGGCGTAAACATCAATGCAAAAGGTGAAAAAGGACGAACTGCTCTACATATTGCAGTAAATAATAATAAAAAAGAGATCGTTGAACTACTTCTTTTGAATGGGGCAAATATAAACGAAAAATGTGAAAATTTAAGAACTGCCTTACATATTGCGGTATTAAAAAATTTTAAAGAAATAGCTGAACTTCTTCTTTCGCATGGTGCAAATATTAATGAAAAAAGTAAATACAGAAACACAGCTCTTCATTACGCATCAGAGTATAATAGTAAAAAATTAGTTGAACTTCTTCTTTCACATGGGGCACATATTAATGAAAAAGATGATAGTGGAAGAACCGCTCTTCATATTGCAGTATTGGATAATAGTAAACAAACAGTTGAACTTCTTCTTTCACATGGTGCACATATCAATGAAAAAGATGATAGGGGAAGAACTGCTCTTCGTTATGCAGCAGAAAAAAATAATAAAGAAATCATTGAATTGTTTCTTTCATATGGTGCAAATATTAACGAAACAGATGGAGATGGAAGTGCTGCTCAATTATTATGAAGATTAAGAATTTTTAAGAAATAACCAAAAATAATCAGGTTATTTTAGAGTGGAAAAAAAGTAAAAAAGACGATCAAAATTCTCTCAATTTTCCACTTTTTTCCAAAATATTTTTTTAATATTAAAATAATATATATACCAAAATGATTTAAACTTTGTATTAACATGAACATGTCTAAATTTTTCATTTTTAGGTTGAAATCCAGAGATCATGAATGAATGTTTGAAATATCAAGAACCAAGTTTTAAATGCATGGAATATCCAAAAATTTCACACAATATTAATTTTGTCACATTATTGATTTATGAGTACAATAGAAATGATGCGCATACCGGCCAAAATATTAACATTATTGATGAATGAGTGCAATTGACTCAATTTTTTTAAATAAAAAAGTCAATATTTTTTTCCGAAAAAAGTTCTAAAAATTACTTTATTGAAAAAAGAGAATATAGATTTATTGATTTTGTAAGAGAGGATGCAATATATTGTGAAGAATATTAATATCACAACTGTATTTATTATTTAAGGAATTTGATCGAAGATGTATTTATTGATACATATGAAATATAATTATAATACAAATGGGTTTTACATGGGGTGCAAAAAATGCGCAAAAACGATTATTAAAAATTGAATTTGCACATTTTTTGGGTATTTGAAAAATTTTTGAGTTGACCGTTATTAAAAATCAAAACCATTAATAAATAATATCAACAGTTGCATATGCACAAATAAATATAAATTATATTTATAATGTTTGTTTATTAAATTAGAAATTGAAATAAGGATATAATCAATTAGATTAGAAAATGGCACCTTGATGATATAAGTAAGACCAAATTTCATTTGTTGAACATAACCTTGTAACTCTTAAAAGGGTAATATTAATATCAAAGGAACTGTATAAAATCAACGATAAATTTGAAAATAAAAGGATCTTTGTAAAGTAATGATTTATATGAAATGGAAGAGAATCACATAAAGCAATTATTAATATGAAAATCATGATAATTCCATAAAGTTTTTATAAATATGAATATAAATAGAAATTTATAATGCAAGAATAGATTGAAAGTTAAGAGAACTGCATAGAGTAATGATAAATCTGAAAAGAAAGAGAATGTAATAAAATAATGAAGAATATTGAAACAAAGTGGATTCCATAAAACAAAGATAAATATGATATGAAAAAGAATTCCATAAAGCAACAATAAATATGAAATTATAAAGGAAAAGTTTCTTGTTGACATCTGCACCATGTTCAACTAAGTATCGAACAAATTCAATCGATTTCTGTTTAATTGCTAAGGAAAGCGGACAATCATTAATTTAAAATATATATCATAAAGAAATAATATATATGATGGCATTGGGAATGTAATACAAAGATGATCGATATGAAAAAAATGTGAATTTTATAACTTTATGATAAAGATAAAAATAAAATGAATTCCATAAAACAATATTAGATATGAAGATGAGGAAAATATTTTAAAGTAATAATAGATATGTTAATAAAGCGAATTTCAAAAATCAGCGATTAATATGAAAAGAAATTAAATTGCATAAAGCAAAGATAAAAATAAAAAGAATGAAATTTCTATTAAGCAATATTGGATATGAAAAGATTGAAAAAAGTGTAACATTGACATCTGCACCAAGTTCCACCAAGAACTTAATAAGCTCAAATGATTTTGCTTGAATTGCACAACTGAGGGGGCATTCATTAATATCAAAAAAATATCATAAATATATAGAGAATTCCATAACGAAATGATAAATATAAAAATAAAATGAATAAAATGATATAATAATAGATAGAATAAAACAATGATAAATATGAAAAGATAGTAAATGTTATTAAGCAATGATAAATATGAAAAGAAAGAAAATATCACAAATTAATTATAAATGTGAATAAAAAAAGGACACCATAAATCAATGATATATATAAAACAATAGAGGAAACATACTTTGTTGATATCTGCGCCATGTTCAACTAAATATGGTATAATTTCAATTGCTTTTAATTTGATTGCAAGAGTGAGAGGGCATTCATTCACTTAAAAAGAATATAATAAAGCAATAATAGATATCAAAATATAATGAATTCTATAAAAACATTCTGAATATAAAATTAAAATAAATTAAATAAAGTAATGATAAATATGAAAGAAAAGAAAATCAAATTTAACAAAGATTGATATGAAAGGAAAGAAAATGCGATGTATCAATAATAAATATGAAAGGAAAGAAAATGAGATGTATCAATAATAAATATGAAAGGAAAGAAAATGAGATGTATCAATAATAAATATGAAAGGAAAGAAAATATCATATACCAATAATAAATATGAAGGAAAAGAAAATCTCATGGAAAAATAAAAGATATAATAAAATAGAGAAAATGATAAAGCAATAATAAATATGAAAAGAAAGTGATAGATATTATCATAAAGAAAATATAATTAAACAATTGAGGATATGAAAAGAAATTGAAATATTATCTGGTTGACATCTGCACCATATTCAACAAAATATTTGACAAGCTCAATTGAATTCTGTTTAATTGCAACGGAGAGAGGGCGATCATTAATATAAAAGGAATAGAACAAAGCAATGTTGGATATGAAATGAACAATAATATTATGAAAAGAAAGAGAAAAAAATTGAAGCAAAAATAATCCAACAAAACAATGAAAAATATGAAAAGAAAGATATTTCCATAAAACAATAATAGATATGGAACAAATGAGAACATGAAAAGATGATAAATATGAAAAGAAAAAGAAAAAACTTCTCGTTGACATCTGCACCATGTTCAACTAAGAATTTAACACTTTCAATTGAATTCGATTCGATACCAACTCTGAACGGGGATGTATAAATTTCAAAATAATATCATAAAGCAATACTAGATATGAAAAGAAATATAATTTTATAAATCAGAAATAGATATGATAATTAAGATATGATGGATATGAAAAGAAAAATAATTCCATAAAGCAATGATATATATGAAATAAATGAGAATATAAAAAGATGAGAAATATGAAAAGATAAAAAAAAGTACTTTGTTGATACTTGCACCATGTTCAACTAAGAATTTAACAATATCAATTGAATTCGTTTTGATTGCAGTACTGAGTGGAGTTGCATTAATATCAAAATAATTTTGTAAAGTAGTAATTGATATGAAAAGAAATATAATGTAATAAAATACTAATTGATATGAAAAGAAATATAATGTAATAAAATACTAATTGATATGAAAAGAAATATAATGTAATAAAATACTAATTGATATGAAAAGAAATATAATGTAATAAAATACTAATTGATATGAAAAGACTATGAATGTCATAAAATAATGATAAATAAAATAAGAATGTGGATGTAAACTTCATTAACATCTACACCTTTATTAATCAAATAAGAAGCAATATCATAATTTCCGAAATCCAAACTTCTTATTAATGAAACATTATTTGGCTTAAAATGTGTTTGGATATATTCAGCGATCTCATAGTTTTTATAATACAATGCAAGATCGAACAAATTATCAAAGGACACACCATCATCTACCATTTGCATAAAAATGTTTATGTTTCTGCCTTTAATTGCATATTTCGCAGATTTTTTATGATACTTGGCTCCCAAATTCTTCAAGTAGTTGAAACATAATTCTGAACCATATTTAATTGCATAGTCAATAGGATGCATTTTATACCATATTAATTTTTCAATAGAAGAATCTGGGAATTTACTTTTTAGACCATTAATGTCATCCCAAGCAATGCAGTATAAAGGGGATTCCGTTGAATATATATACAGGGCTTCTTCTTCTGTCTTTTTGGGTGAAAAGTCTTTATCATTTGAATATCTGTGACCTTTATAATATAACAAATCAGCCAATCTCTTATTTGTAGGTTTGATATTGTACGGAATTTCGTTTGTTATGCCTTGATAAAGTTCCGCAAATATTTCAATATCTTTTTCTCGCATTTCTGAAAATTTATCAATCAAATAATGTATCATTTGAATATTTATTTTGTTATTTTTAACGAGACAGATAATTTGTGATGATATTTGTTTAATATTATTGGAATTGACGTCCCATATGATTTTTGAAGCCTGATTAGGGATTACGAATATATCAAGAAGCTCGGCGTTGCTGAAATCCTCAACGAATTTATATTCTGGTTGCATTGAGCGTTTCAGATGGTTTGACCACTTAAAAAGTGACACAACATTTCATAGTTATCATTTGGTTTGATAGCATGTGTTTTTCGTAAATGAGCACATGCTCTTTGAAGTATGAAATTTATATTCACGATTATTTAACTTTTCTAAAAGGAAACTTAATATTTTGTGAGAATTTATCACATATTTACTATCACCAATCAAAATACTACTTAATTTTGGTATCTTAAAAGCCAAAATCTAAAGAAAGGTTTGTAAGTTTAACATGGTTGAAAATAGATGATTCCTTCTGCAATGAGGTAAAATTAACAACAAATCACACTTTTTCTTTTACAAAACAAATAATCAGCTTGCTCATTGATCTCATTGAGTGGCTGAATATCTCATGATCCAGTAATGTGATGTTTTCATTTAGGACATGGATCGTATCCGGATAACATATGGCTCCTGGAATATCAAAGAAACCAAATACAATTCTAATCTCGGTAAAGATAAGAGATTTTATATGTAATAAGAGTTAAGAACACAAAACAAAGCGTATTATAAAACTTTAACAAGCTAAATATAAGTTTATTTTGATTTAATTAAAATGATAAATCATATTTTTTTTAATAAAAAAGTTAATAAAGGGTAATTTGTATAGAAAAAAGAATTCGTACATATTATTAGACATCTTAGTTCGTAGAACGAGTTGGAGTAGTGCGATTAGCTCTAGGTGTAGAATTTTGAGAAACTCTGCTTGTAGGTCTTGGTGATTGTAATTTCGGAGATAATGGTGATGTTTTTGGAGATAGTGGTGTTCGAAGAACTGGTGATAATGGCTGAATTTCCTTTATTTCGTCTTCTGTGAAAAGAGGTCTGAACATTTCAGCTTCGTCTTCACCACGTGGTACATTTAGTCTTAAGGATCTCGCTTGGAGAGTCTTATCAAGCTTATCAATTTCATTATTATAATTTGTCTGAATTTCAGTGAAAACTTGCTTTTCTTTCTTATCGCATAGATCGTCCTCGGATTTATTCTTTGCCTCTAAAGCTGTCCTTAATTCGTTATATTTCTTGTGGACGGCGTCCTGTCTAGATTGGAGTATTTGCTGCCTGATCTGCTGTGACTCTTTGAACAATGCGTCAGCTACATCGTATTCCTGATTCCTTGCGCGAATCTGTGCTTGATTCTTTCGAGTATCAGCTTCTGGAATAGCACGGGTTGTTTCGACTTCAAGTTCCTTAGCATACTCTTCAGCTAGCTTGGCTAATGCATTAGCATGCGACTGCTGTAAGAGATTCCTTCTTTTCTGAAAACGGGATTTAGCTTTATAAACTTGATTGTAATATTCATTATACATTTCGGAAGCTTGTATTTTAATATTTTCTTTTTCGATATTATATGTAAGAAGAGCTTTAGTTAAATTTGCCTGGTTATTCTGTTGATTTTTAGCGTCCAAAAGCTTCTGAATTTGAAGGTCTATAGATTTTGCTTGCTGGAAATCACAGTTCTCAATGGCGGTGTTTTTCTGTTTGCGGAGAAGAGCAATTTCATGGTCACTGCTCATTTTTTCTGACGGTTTCGACAAAATTACGTGGATCTTTCTCTGGAGTCCAATTTTATGCCAGATAATTCTGAAAGCATATGGAAATCTTAATTTCTTCATAATACTTTTTTATACATTTTGACGTTTCAAATTGGCAAAAATTTTTATGCTAATTTCGGAACAATTCATATACAAAATGAATAGTCCAGATCTTTTACTGAAATGCTCTTATTAACATTTGGGGTGAACTCAATATCCTCAATATAGAATCTATTGAATATTAGAATTACCAATCAAATCATTTAAATATTTATTTTACTTTGGTTTGACCTTTTATTTGTAACGATTTTACAATCAAATAATAGGTTTAATTTATATTTGATTTGAATTTTACTTGTAAATTCAGACATCTCATCATATTAACTATGAAAGCACAATTTTATATTACAAAAAGAGTCATTTTGTAAATTACATCATACTTGACAGGAGGGAAGTTCACCTTGTCAGAAATGGTTGAACACGAGGAACTCGTTCAAGAAGTAAGAACCAATGGTGAAGATGAACATTATAATGTTGACTCAACTAGTAGGATCCAACTTCGCAGGCTTACGAAGAAGGAACTCATGAAAATGCTTGACGAAATGAATATTCCATACACAACTAACACAACAAAAGAAGTATTGATAAGCATGATCCTTGGAGCTTCTACCAATGATAAAAACCAATCTAATGGCGAGACTAACATGATGATACATGCTGAAGATTTGGAAGATGATGATATTATTATCCAAAAAGAAAGCATTGCTCCAGAAAACATCGAACCTAACGTTGAATTACCAGGAAAAGTTACCTCAATTACGCTTATTAATCAGGTTAGTCTCATGAGCACTAATGATGAAGATGAAATCCCAGAAATTCAAGACAACCTTGATGACTACAAAGAATACACTGTTCCAGAGACAATTCATCCTGTAATCCATACAGAACCTGATGAAGTTTCCCATAATTACATGAATCACATCTTCTCTTCATCTTCATCAGAGAAATCAACACCAAAGATGGAGACGATGATCCAAGAACCAATAACAAAAGGTATGTCTCCATCAATGATTGATCAAAAGGCGAATCAAACTGAAGATTCAACAATTTTCATCGAAAAAAGTGAGAAAAGTTGGAGAAACTTTTTCATAATCATTGGATTGATCTTGTTTACAATAGGATTGATCTTAATTTCATTTCTCGCTTTCAAGAAAAAGAATTTCTTCAACATATTCAAAAAAATGAAATGTTCGATGAAAAATTTTCGAAGGATACTCCACATGAAGCAAAACAATAAATTTTAGGACTAAAAATCCATTTTATTAAATTAATTTCTTCATTTTTTAATTTTATATATATATATATATATAGTGTTTAAGTGGGGAACTTTGATATTTTTTTCCACACCATAGTAGTTTCACTTTTTGCATATGAACTCTATATTGATTCTGGCTAGAAACTAGAGAAATTAAAAATTTTCAATTTTTGGCCCATTAAAAGTACCTTTTTGAAAATAAAAAATATTATTATTAATTATGTGTGATCTTTGACATATATTCATAAAATCAAGTGATTTGGAGTGATTGGCAAAAAAATCTTGTTTAAACATATGTATTTTGCATGTTTACTTTTAAATTCTATAATAAATATGATAAATTAAATAACATTAGTCATAACTTTCAGTATAAGAAGCAATTTAATCTTAAAATTTGAATTGAATTGATAACATATGTGAAAAAGTTACCCTTCTACCGTTCTCAATTAAAATTAACTTACACTATTCACAGACACTCAAATTTTTATGAAAAATGGTGGTAATAAATTGAATAATTATTGCCAATTTTTGACAAAAAAAATATTGAGTCGAATTAATCTTTATTGAGATAATACAGCGAGCTAATCTCATGTATTTTTCAAGTAGAATATATTACTGCCATCTTAACAAAATTATGACTGTAAATTTGATTCTTTATCAATCTTTTTTTTAAAAAAATTCACAATTTTTTAAATCGAGAGAAAGTTGGGAATAAAAAAATTTACCAGCATTTAGTCACTTTTCAATTTGTGAAGTTTATTTCATATGTCTTCAAAGAAGAAAACAGGTCCTTTCTCCGAAAATAGGGATACTAACAGCCTGCATGATACTAAATCACCCGATGCGAGGAAATATGTTGAATATACAAAAGATTTTGATGAAAAAACAAGTTATTCTTTTCAGCGCATTAAAAAGCGCGGATTGAAAAGTGGAGATATTAAAACGCTAATAAATTTGATGGAAAAATATTTCGAAGACAACCCAAAATTTGAACATAATAAAAATTCCAAACCAAGAGCAGCTAAACAAGGAATACATGGAGCATGTACTTATTTCGATCAAAACAAAGAAGTGTTTGAATATTTTTTGTCGAATTCTGAGTTTCATACCGTTAAAATCGATGAATAATATGCTATAATATTATCTACCCCCATCAATGTAGATGATTCTCTAATTTTAATAAAATCATAAGCGTTTCACTATTCGAAACAATTGTTTATTTATATTTTTATTTAATTTTTTTTTCAAAGGAAATAATGAATAAGTTAAGAATGCTGGAAGTTACAATTCCAATGAGTTAAGGTTATATGAAAAAGCAATTTTTGAAATTAAAAATTTGAAATTTATGGAAAATTTCAGTCTAAATGAAACATAAAGAATATGATATTCCCTAATATAATGATTTTTTAAGGCCGCACTTACGCCCATCTGACTTTAATTCAAATTTCTGACAACTGGTATGAAGTGCCAGTGAAAATTAACCTTAAACATCTGAATTGAAGGCCTCGTCATAGGGGCGTAAATGCACCCTTAAACTCAATTTCCCGGTTTATTGACGTCCCCATAAAATTGAGAGACTTATTGTAAAAGGTGAGTAGTATATGAGTGCGGGTTTTGTGACTTTTTTTGTTACATCTATATATAGACGATGCATTAAAATATATTTATTTATAAATCATTAAAAAATTAACATTAATTTTAAAATAATTTATTTTTTTATCTTTTATAAAAGAAGCTATATATAGATGATGTCAGATATTCCGCGATTAATTAAACATTGTTTAAATCCTGAATGGGTTAAACTTCAATTTAAAAATGAAGATTGTGAATTATTAAATGAATATGAAAGCCAAAATAAGCTAATGAGGTATAAATATAATGATAAAGAATATTTAATTTCATGGAATCAATGGAGTCATAATCAAAGACCTCATAAACGAGAAGAAGAAATTGAAAATAATGAAATGGAAATCATTGATGACATTAAAGAGGATGGAATTCCTAAATTTTGTAGAAAAACCTTTAGAACTAAGTTAGGAGCATATAAACGTAGAGTATTAAATCCTGAATACATAAAACATTTATTTAAAAAGGAAGACTGTGAATTATTAAACGTTAATGAATATGAAAATGCTAAATCAAAACTGAGATATAAATATATTGGAAGTGATGAAAGATGCAAAGATAAAGATAAAGTTTATACAGTTTCATATAATAACTGGCACACGTTAGGGATAAGAAAACATTTAGGAGATTATGGTAAAAGTTCTGAATTCTTTAAATCTAGTATGTATGAGAGAGTAAAAGAAATTAGAAATAATTATTTTCATGAATGAGAAATAAACTTTAAAAATTCATGTCTTACATTTTTAAAATAATTTATTTTTTAATTCGTAAGAAAATGAGCGTCAAAACTAACAACGTTAAAAAATTAGGATTCACAAATGAGGAAATAAATGATATATTAGAGGAGGCGGGTTATGGACTTTAAGTCCTGGGCACTTTATGCCTTGGGCTTTAAGGACCCGGGCTCAACGAGTCATGATTTATGAAATCAATAATTTGATTTATTCGCTCTTCAATAATTTCTATTCTTTTTGTTAAATCATCTATTTTCATTAATGAGGTGATTCTTGATTGAGGAATAGATTTCAAACTAACCACTCCTTTTATTTTTGAAATTTTGAATCCATCAACTTTAAACATTTTATTCAATTTACACGTTGTCAATTCTTCAAATAATTTTTTATTATTAGCATAATAGTCATTAAATTCTTCAACAGATGAAAAATTTTTTATTTCAGTAATTGGTTTAACAACGTTTATTTTTTGTTGAACATTTTCACTTTCATTTATTTCTTCCTCCTCTGTTTCATTTATTTTTAAAATCGGTTTCATTTATTATAAAATAAAAATTAAAATATAAGTGATGAAATATATTTTTAATTAATATTAAATCAGAAATGGCGGCAGGATTCTTTAAAAAATTATGGGATGGAATTAAGAAAGCTGCAGGTTGGGTTCATAAAAATATTATTAAACCTGTTGCAAACTTTTTGGCACCAGTAGCGAAAACGGCAGGAACTATCATAGGTGGAGTATTAGGTACAAAAGCAGGTAATCCGGCGATGGGAGCACAAGCAGGTAACGCAGTTGGTGGAATTGCTGAAGGAATACTTAATAAAATAGGGGGAAGATAGTGGAAAAATAAATAAATATTATTTTTATCTTAGTATCGGTTGTAGTCTTTGATAAACTTTTTCTCCTTTATTTAAAATTTCTCTTATTGGGGCAGCTTTTGGCGTTATTGATTCAGCAACGTCACTAATTGCTTCTTTATTCTTAAATATCCAATTTGCTCCTTTCTTCATTGTTTCCCAAACTTTATGCGCTCCTCTTTTTACTTTATCCCACAGTTTCTTAAAGAATCCTGCAGCCATAGTTGATTATTTCATTAAAATTAAAAATTCATTTTCATCTTTTAATTTTGATTTTTTATTTATTAATAAATGACGACTAACTATTTAGTGCCAAACACCAAACCGATTAATGGAAATGTGTTTCATTCATTCGAAAAGATAAATAAAATATTCGCAAAGAATGATGGAAGAAGATATTATAGAGAACTTGAAAGTTCATGCTATGACTCTGATGCTCCATATTTTGATGATAAACAAACTCATTTAAGAATTACAAATCCGGCTCATGATGTGAACCAATTAGGTGACACATATATTAAACGCAAAGTTAAAGCAACTCTAGTTTCAAATAAAGCTTTCACATGTGATGCCGCTTTTAAATGCATGCGTTTATTCGTTGGTTACAAATCATCAAATCAAAGCTTTAAACAATTAGAAGTAGAAACTGAAAGAGGTGATGCCGGTTATCTTCAGATGGAATGCGCCCGTGAATCTTTTGCATTTGCAACATATAAACCAAAATCAGAAAGGAAAGTTAAAAAGTTTGTTCATTCGTTATATAATAATGTTCAAAAATATGATAACTCAGTATGTGGTAAATATATTGACCCTTCAGAAGTTTTCAAGAAAGCAAATGATGAAGTTGATGTCACTTTTGATATGATTATTCCGGTAAATGATTTGTTAGCATTTCAAGCGTTCGATGATTATCCTAAATCATTTGGTGAAATCATTCTTAAATATTATGTTTTCAGGGATACTTTAGTATTTTGTCAGGTTGACCCGTTAAGAGTTGCTGATTTACAAAATTATGTTTATGAAAAGATAACTGATGAAAATTATGAAAAGATTATGAATCATGTTTATAAATATGATCGCAAATTCCAACAAATCGGACTTTCTGCCAAATTAATGACAAGCTTAGCCGCTACATCTGCTGACGCAACAGTTGATGACGTTATTATTTCATGCACAAAGATGGAAGTTTTAGAGGATAAATGCATTACACCAGGATACGGTTTAATTGAAGAATCAGTTAAAGCAATACCACGTTTATTTAGTAAGGAAGATCCATTCATGATTCCAGCTCAACATATTGACGTTCGTTCACTAAATGGAGGTTGCATCACTCCTGAAGGTATCAGCTCAGATTTCTCATACGCTCTTCATAATGTTTCAGATGTTGTGTTAGCATTTCCGAAGAATGCAATGCAAAGAACAGTTTTAGAAAATCCAATGCTTCGAGGTCTTCAGGTCACTATAGATTCCAGAAACTTCCCCGATCAAGCGATGACCACAGTGGGTGACATATTCTTTACACGTATGCTTCAAGCTTCTGATTTAGATGGGGGGAATGAATGCACAGAAGAATACGAGGACTCATTAACTAGACCACTGAATGATGATGATGGCAAGCCATTAGCTAGAACATGGAAAGACCAAACTTCGTTCTTATGCACTATTCCAGTTCAACGTGATGGAGCGGGTATATTCTTTGATGGATTAGAAACTTTCAACTCACAAGTTACAGTACAAGTGAAAGCTTATCCAATCATTCAGGGTGAAAATGACACTTACTGTTCAAAAGTGACAAATCCTCCTCAGGTTTGGTTTACTAGGACTACATATTGGACATGGACACCGGATGAAGGTTTGAAATATCATCCAACAGGTACACCACCGCAGTATAGAAGTTCATATGATGAAATATTGATGAATAGAAATGTTTAAAATTATAAATTTATTTTTGATTAAATGGATTTAAATTCATTCACCCCTTATGAAGAATTAGCGGGAGTATATAATAAATACGTAGATGATATGATTAATGAAGCATTGAGTGATAATAGAAATGCTCTATCTAAGGAAAAATTAATGAAAATTACATATTCTGAATGTTACTTAAATTCAATCACTGCAGCAATTGGTAAACAAAATAAAGGTAAAACATTAACGATATTAAAACAAATTATCATTATTGCTAACACTTCCCCCCATTCACATGTGTTAATTTATATCAACCGTTCAGGTTCACCTTCAGATGATACATTTGAATCTTTAAAGCATTTAATCAAAATTCCAATTATTTATTTATCACAAGAAGAAGCAGAAGATTATTTAAAAAACTTTTTAATGTATAAAGAATTATATAATACAATCAAGAAGCAAGGATTAGAGGATAAAATTATTGATAAACAACGGGATGAATTATTTGAAACACTTTCTATAGGGTGTCCAAAGGTGTGTTTAGCACAAACCTGAATACTGCGAATATAAATAAACAAGTTACATATATATAAAGTTTATTTAAATATAATCACCATTGGATTCAATCACGCGTTCGCAGCGATCGATCCAGGCTTGAAAGACACGCTTTAAATCATCATGAGAAAATTGCTCAAATTGCTCTCTTACAAAATTTTCAAGATCATCTGGACTCGCGAATTCGCGTCCTTCAGCTCTCTTTTTTAGCGTGCCGAATAAATAAAAGTCAGAGGGTGCAATATCAGGTGAATAAATTGGGTTTGGAACAACTTTGACATTGTTTTCCACCAAGTAATTCATTACCTTATGACTTTTGTGAACTCTTGAATTATCAAAATGAATTGCAAACTTTTGTTTTTGTTGTTTGGATTTCTCAAACTCATCAGAATTGATAATTTGAGTAAGAACATTGTCAATTAGATACTGAGCATTCATCGTATTAGGTTTTTGAAGAATATCAATTGCGATGATGCCATTCACGCCCCAAAAAACCGACAACATCATCATTGGTGTGTCAATTTTTTTCTTCGGGAATGTTTGCGGATTTTCATCCTTCGGGATCCACATGATTTTGGCTTCTGTTGCATATTGAAAACCAAGACTCGTCCCCTGTTACTAAAAAGCGAAACTTCTTGGATTGATACGCACCCAATATAGAGAGGAGCTCTTTCGAAGATTGGACTCTAGATTTTTTTTGAACTGAATTAAGGTTGTGCGGAACCCAACGTGTATACGCTAGTTTGTAGTTCAAATAATTGTGCAGATAATAACTGACTGTTGTACGTGGTATCTTTGTCATCTCCTCTATCCTTCTGAGTGATGGTCTTGGGTCTTCATCTAGCATTTGAAGAATTGCTTTGATTTTTCTTTGATCCGGCGATTTTTTGTCAATTTTTATGATGGGCGCCTTTTTGTTCATGAAGTGATACATCCTAACATGATACGTTACAGTGGAATAGCTAGGAGCATCCATACCGAAGCATTTTACCAATGTCTCGTAGATTTTTTTACAGTCTTTGCATTTTTTTGCAAGAGCGAGGATGTTTTATTTATGATTCATTAAAAAAATGAAAAAAATCCCGCCAAAATTTCCCGCAAAACCGCCTCTTGTCTCACAATTCATTTTATATCCCGGCATGGCGCCAAAATACAACATACTCATCATATACATATATTCATATTTTTTATTATATATTTATAATCAGCATATATCTCCTTTAATAGTCTCATATAGAGCGCTGTGCTAAACGCACCTTTGGACACCCTATATTTCAAATTTTGATAGAGAATTTTTGCATTCACTCATTTTTCTAGATGATGCAGTGAAATCAAAACTAATAACAAATGAGAAATCATATTTTAATCAGTTATTAACTCAATGTCGACACATTCAGTGTTCATTCTTCATGGCTGTTCAATACTTCAAAGCATTAAGCACAAACATTAAATCAAATCTATCAACACTTTTCATTTTCAGTGGGTTTAGTCGTCAACAGTTGAACGTTATGCTTTATCAAGTGAATTTACCAATGAGCATTAATGAACTTTACACACAATATCAGCAATTAGGTGAACATGGAAAAATAATAGTTGATTTAAATAAAGGAAGTGTTAAATTTGATTAACTTTTTATAATTAATTTTTATTTTTTATTTATAATTAAACATGACAGAAATAGCAAATCTTCTACAGGTTCCATTAAAACAAGGGACAAACAAAAGGGGTGCATATAATAGAACTATGAAAGTTCCAGACGGAATGAAAGAATTAGTTCATATTGTTGCCGGTCTTCAAAAGGATGTTAAACAAATGAGAAACGTTTTAACATTACCAGAAGCTCAAGCATATGCCAAACGTCATGGTCCAAATTGGGAAGCACACGAAGCAGACATTACAGGTCCAAATGGAAAACCTGATGGTATAAATGAAGTTTTCGTTACTGATGGTCAAGGTAATATTAAAGTCATAAATGGTTATAAATTAACTGTATCTGATTATCCTAAACGTAAAGCATATAATGAACGTTATCCTATGCAATTTGATGAAAATGGAAAAGCTATTAAACAATACATTGGAGAAGGTGAACATGGTTCAATTAATTCATACCGTTATAATCCATATTCTTATTTCAATGAAGAATTAAACGCTATTGAAGAGGGACCGGATGGATTACCACGATATGTTAATCAGTTTGATGATCAATATGCAAATTTGAGACCTGAAATTCCAGCTAAGAAATTCTTTAAAGTTGCTTTATTCGATCCAGTGTTCAATGAACAGAAAGAAGCAATGAAAGCAGAATTTAAACCAATTTCAAGTGGCAAGAATTTCTTCATCTTCACTTTCAGAAGCGTTCAAGGAATTGATAAAGAAACCACTTTATTCTCAACAAGGTTATAACTTTGATTTAATTAAAGAAAGTGATAGACGTAAATTAGAAAAATCAGATGGTTTTAAGAATGCATGTAATGAAATGATTAAAGATATTGTAAATGATAAAATAAGACTGGAAGAAACTCAAAGCAATATCAATAACATAATTGGTGCAGTTACAAAGAAAGTATAAGCAAACAATGATGAACCTTGGGATATTACCGTAACAACTAAATAAAACTTTAAATATATTTTTCTTTTTTATTCAATTATAAATGAGAAGACGTTTCACAAGTCAAAAGAACACTAACGCAAAAGCAGAGATTACGGTTGGTTATAACGTAAATGATGATAAATCACGAATTATTCAAAATGTTAAAGTTAATGTTAGCCCTGAATTAACAAAGTCAGCAACTCAACCAAATTTATTAACTCGTGACTTACCAAAGAATGAGGAGGAAAATAAAGAAGATGAAGACCCAATCATTTTATCTGAACCCGGTAAAGAACCCGTTGAAATTCCCACTTATCCAACATACCCCCCACCTCTTTCATCAAACATCGAGAACCCAGGAATCCACGATTACAGTCGCAATGCGCCATATAAAATAGACATTAATTCTGAATTAATGAAAATTTACCGTGATATAATAACTGATAATTATGATTCAATAATAAATTTAATTGACCAATCCGGTTTAATTATTTTACCTTATGAATCATTAATTCACATTATCGCCATTCTTTGTGATGTTCAGGATTCAGACGTGAAGATTCAATTTTTCATAGATGATGAAGTTTCATGCTGCGGAACAGTTGCAAAAATAAATCCTATAAAGGATATTAGCACAATTAAGATATCAAAGAACGGAACAACAACTGAACTTCATTTAACTTATAATGATATTATAATAAAAATAGTTGATGAATATAAATATCACTTGAAAAATTCTTTGTTAAGGCCATTTAATATTCAAGCATTAACATTATTGAATAATAATCCTTTGAATCATAATCAATAATAATTGACCTTTCACCAGTTTCTATCGTTTGTTTTATTTCTTTTTGTTCCCCACTATCTGGATCGGTCATTGTAATTGTTTTTGTTATAGTATCAGCTTTATCTTTAACTTCAATCTTTTTTCCATCAGGATATTTAAACCAAAATTCCAAAAATTCGATATTGTCAATCTGTTCATATTTTAATCTATCAATTACATTTTTAATACCATCTGAAAATCTTATGAAATGGTCATTATATGGGTTTGATTGAACTAAATTTGAATGAAGTGAAATATAACCCGATGATGATATGACATTGACTCATATTTTCTGAAAACACTAAAATTTATAACATGAATGAATTTCTTATCGTTGAATTTATGAATTCTTGAGGTAATCTTATTCTAGTTTTATTTATCACTGGAAAATAACGCTTTACCATATTTTTAATCGTAATAAAAAATGTCATTATCAATATTATTTCGAATAATAACTGTGAATTAAATTTAACAGTTAGTGGAATTTATAATGTTACTCTCGTTTGTGAGTGGTAAATTTAATCCCATTCTTTTAGACCTTCAGATTATATATCATTTATTAAAGATGACTTGAAAAAACATATGATATGTATATAAATAATGTGATAACGAAATGGGAATATTAACATGATTTTAAGTTATTTAAATGAATATTTATCATATGGTATGAAGAAAATTTTAAATCAAAACCTGATAAACTTTTTGAACTTGATGAAATAAATAACCTTATTAAATTTCCGCTGAAAATAAATTTTTGTACTCCTCATCTTCGTTCATTGTTGGGGATATTAAATTTTGAAAAAGATGTTGGGGATGTTTTTGTATTCTGACACTGGTTCCAATTTCATTTTAATCAAATGTGATAAAGTTAATACCCCAATGAGATTTTCACATCAAACATTAGACCCTAACTCTTACCCATCAATACAAAACATTTTATCCATCAACTTAAACATATTTTCTTTATCATATCCGTTTCAATTATCCGGGAATTCATTTATTCTTCATTCAAAAGATTTATCAAATATTAAATTTAGAGTAACCGACCTATTTGATTGTGATTTAGAATTCATGAATGAAATATTATGGCAATTTCAAATAGAAAAAATAGGTGATGAGATAACGGATTAAATATTTATTTTTAAATCATAATAAATGATTAAACAACAGCAACCACAACAACTTAAGGCACAGACCATTACATACGCCATATATGCATATAATTCAAAGACGGCAGAACAAACGCAAATGTTGAAATATGGAGATTTGGAGATAGTATTGAAAAATGACCATTTCGAATTCGTTTGCAAAGGTGGTGCAGTGATATCAAATATAAAAGAAATTTTATTTATGAATTCAAAAATTAAAGGTATAACGGATGATATAACATCAATTCCACCAGAAGAACAAAGATATTACGCATTAAATGCATTTCCTAAAGTTTTGAAGATTGGAAGATTTAATTTAAATGAGGAATTCATAAAAGGTTTCCTAAATGGCATAATGAAGAAAGCAGATAAGGAATATGTGGATGAAAAAGATAAAGAAATTATAGAAAGGGTTGACTGGTACCATGAACGGACATCGAAGATTCTTAAAACTAAAGCTGATACAGGATGGGTTTCAGAATGTTTAGACCTTAAAGCAGATAAAACTTATGTTAACGATGAGTTAGAGAAGAAAGCAAATAAGACTCATACACATACAAGTTTTACAACTGTTGCTATAGAAAGTATTGAAGGAACGGTTGAAGAAACTGGTGGGGATGCATTATATTGTAAACCTCCTAACTTTCCACAAGGTTTAACATCGGATGACGACATAACGACGATGAGAAACATTAGATGTAAAGATGTTTATGTCATGAAGGATGAACATAATATTAAATTCACTGCTCAAGATTTATATGACAAGAAAGCAGACAAAAAGAGCTTCAAACATTAAAGACAGAAATACTTCAAACATTATATCCTATAGGCTCTATTTATACGTCAATGAATTCAACAAATCCAGCAACAGTTCTGGGTTTCGGTACGTGGGAACAAATAGTTGACAGGTTTTTGTATTGTGCAAACTCTTCAAAGGAAACAGGAGGAAGTAAAACGATTTCAGGTGAAAATTTACCTGCACATAGTCACTACATAGATTTAAGTACATCTCAAGCGGGTTGGCATAAGCATAGATATTGGGATTGGTCAGCAATGATAAAAGGTAAAGGATATGATGTTAAAGACAACGTTAAGTTTGCTATAGATTGTTACTGGAGTAACACTGAGGAAGGAGGAAACCATACACATCGCGTTTCAGGATATACACAAACAACGGGACAAAGTAAAGATTACATGCCGCCATTTATGACTGTATTCACATGGTATAGAGTTCAATGAATGTGCTTGACCCAAAGGTCTGGGCTTACCGAATGAACTAAATATATTTTTGTTCAAAGCTTCCACGAGAGAAAAGATTCCTCATTCGCTAAGGATTCCAAAAATGAAAAAATCATTGATTTCGGCTGAGAAAAACAGCAAAACCCTTCTTCCACGGGAACAAAGAAATAAAGAAGAAATAAAGAAGAAATAAAGTAAATTTTTTATTTATTCCCGTGGAAGATAGAGCATTTTTATGACACTTTTTATTCACGACAAACAAGACAAACAAAGAAAATAAGAAAATACGGCGCCGTCGCGGTTCGAACCACAGACCCTAACCCCTCCATAACACCACCTTAGACCACTGTGCTACGTAGCCTGTCGACATAAGATTTTATAAATTGCATATTTGACGTAAATTTATTTCCCAGTTATTCAAAAATAATTAATTATTGAATAACCGAAGGTGCTACCATGTTACCATGTGCTACCAGGTCATTTAACTTCTTTTAAAAATGATGACAACATGACATTTTGACAACAACATAGGAGGAAGGCAAAAATAAATTCAAATCATACTTTATAAAGCTAGACCTTCAGGTCTCGCCGCTTAGCGGCTCATTTACAGGTATTTCATCGTCAGTAAATGAATCCTCATTATCGTTTGGTTCAACCTGTTTATATAATCCTTTCATTTCTTCTTTCAAAACATAACACCATGTTTGTTTACCGTCTATTCTTCTATGTTTCCTATCACATTTATCCTTAATGCTCATTTGAAAGTTTTTGTCTTTCATGTCTGATGGTTTGCAGAATAGAGCATTTTTACACGTCATACCCGCACACAATTCATCATAATGTGTATTTATCCATACATCTAAAGGATTTGATGATAATTCTATTAAATCTTGTTTGGCTTCAGTCATCGGTATGATTCGTACATTAAATGATGAAAGGTCGTAATTGATAAAATACGTCAGTAAATTATCATAAAATTCCTTTGTGCATGAATCCATCAAATTCTTGAAGTAATCAAATTGACCCTTGAATTTACCATTAACCCTTAAAACTACGTATCTTCTGTCTCCAACTTCAATTTTGACAGGGTAGACGTTATTAGTTACGAAAATGAAGTTTGCAACGTTCTGTGCTGTTCTTCTGGGTTGATTCTTTTCATTAATTCTAATCTCATTATCCGTAATAATTGATTTCAAAGCGTTGAAGTTTGCGAGTCTGTCTTCACCAACATTCTTGAGTTCATTAAGTACAAGAAACATTTTATTTTCAACAACTGAGTTGAAATTACCCGTTAGCTCACTTATTTCGGTAATGTTTTTGCATGAATAACCAGCGAGAAGTTCAGAAATAATGTCAGTAAATCTGTTTTTACCTGTTCCCTGAAGTCCTTTCAAAATAATTGCTGTTTCATTCTTGATTCCAGGATGTTGAATCATTGATGCAATCCAGCCGAGAAGGTATTTATACACTTCATCGTTATTATCACAAATGGTTTCTTTAATGAAATTCATAAACATCTCAATTTTTGAGTAATCAGGCTTTTCAAGAATGTTGTATTTATAACCATGAAACGTTGAGAAAACATCGGGGGAATCAGATTTAAAGCAAACACCCTTAACGGTTAATGAGGATAATTGATTTAGTAGTACATCCCATGCTGTTATTGTTTTACCTTCTTCTTTAAATAATTTAATCATTTTGAGTGACTCTTTCATGTTTGATTGAAGAACGAATGATATTTGATTCATTTTATCGTGTATGTTGTAATCTTTTTGAATGAAATATTTATTTCCACAATCTACAAAACGGATTACACGTGATAAATCCTCAATTACTTCAGAACTGTTTTTATACTGATGATTTTCAGCCTTGCGTCTAATATCTGTTATCAAAAACGAGTCATCAAGTTTGATATCAAATGTTATTTTTGGCTTACGTAATAAAGGTAAAACATATTCATCATAATATTCCTTTTGATATAGTTTTAGAATCTTCACCAAAACAAATGGAGAAGTCATTAAATGTGCATATCTATTACGTGCTTTTTCAAAATTACTTTTTGCATTTTCAGTTAAATTGCAGAAGTTATAAACGTTATCGTATGCTTCATTAATTAAATGATTAGGTAACGAATTAATAGCTTGAAACAGTGTGAATAATGTAACTTCTTTTTCTAAATTCATGTTTCCACCGTCATTATGTACTTCAAAATCACAGATGCCATCAACTATGCTCTGGGCAAGTTTATCGTCAATGTTTACATCTTTGTTTTCATTCATGATAGTCTTTATTTCTTCGTTCTTCTGTTCAACTCTTACCTTAATATTCAAATCATTTAATATATCATTCACTGTTCTGGTTAATGTTGAATCATAACTTCCACGAATGAATGAGTATGTATTGATTGGTTCTGTTGCATTCTTGCGAACTCTTGAATCAGCCATAACTACTAAAGAACGCTTTGAATCATCCATTGAAGTCATTATATCAATATCATAATCATTGCAGGAATAACATTTAATCATTCTGTTCGAGGTTGAATAGAAGAAATTAGTGTTGCAATAAATGTGAAGACCTCCTGAAGCGGTTTTAACGATAACATCTTTATCCGAAAGTTTTGATAAAATGTCTTTTCTAACTGTTTCTTTAAGTTCATCATTGTATGATTTATTGATATCAACATCTATAATCGTTAAATTTGAAATTTTATTTACTAATAAAGCCATACCAGTTTTCCTTCCTCTTCCTCCATCGTGTTTGAGGTAGTTATGTAAATCAATCTTGTTTTCACCAATTCTTTCGTTGAGGGTTTTAGTTTCTGCCACAACTAATTCCTCAGCTAATGAATCAATGATATTTTCATCAGAAACGATATAGTTGTTGCTGTTGTTTGTTGCTGTCATTTATATAGGAATAAAAAAATAAAAACAATTTTAAAACTAACTTTATTTTTGGACTGCATCATATTTCCTATGTTGTTGTCAAAATGTCATGTTGTCACATTTTTTCATAGAAGTTAAATGACCTGGTAGCACATGGTAACATGGTAGCACCTTCGGTTATTCAAAAATAAGTCATAACTACCTTCCTCCTATGTTGTTGTCAAAATGTCATGTTGTCAAAATGTCATGTTGTCATCATTTTTAAAAGAAGTTAAATGACCTGGTAGCACATGGTAACATGGTAGCACCTTCGGTTATTCAAAAATAAGTCATAACTACCTTCCTCCTATGTTGTTGTCAAAATGTCATGTTGTCTCAAACTTTAGAACGGCATAATTTAAATTTTTATTTTTATCATAAATGAATACCCCACAAGCTCAAAATTTACCACGAATCATAACAAGGGAGGAAATGATAAAAATGATGCAAGAACATGTTAAAAATAACAAACCACTAAAATTGAGAAAATGTGGTTATGCAGTAATGATGGAAAGAGAGATGTTGTCGAAGAGGAATAAAAATTAAATTTGGATAGAGTTTAAAAATTCATCTTTATTAAATTCATCTCTTCCAATCAATTTATTTATTCTATTAAATTCTTTTATTTTTGCTTCACTCAGTTTAATGATTGAACGATAAGTTTCTAATTTTTCGATTATTTCTTTATCATTTTCAACCCCACCACATTGCAACTTCTTTTTGTAATAGCATATTTTTGATTTAATTCTGTTTAGTTTCTTTTTATATTCATTGTCTGGACTCTTGACTGCTTTGTTGTCACTCATTTTCTTACGAAATAAAAAAATTAAATATTATTTAAATATAATGGAGTAATAAAATAAATCGGAATTTCTATTAATTTATTGTCAACTTCAACTAATGCATTGCCGTTAATATATCTAACAAATTCAGCTATTGTGTCAAATCTTCGTCTTCTTTTTGTCATTGATTTATCAGTTTTTCCATAATCGAGATGAATTAAAACTTTATTTCCTTGTTTAAAATTCATGAGCCCCGAATTAATTTGTTCACGTTTAACATCATTTAACTTTTCCATTTGTTTTCTAATATATTCCCATTCTTTTGAAATATCATTTTTCATTTCCACCGGTTTCATGTTTATAGTTCTATGCCATGTATTATTGTAATAATATACTAACTGCTGTATGATGGAGTCATGTTTTCCATCCCAGTATATCTGACCGTTAACCCCTAACGCATCTCTAAGAGTTCTCATTACCACATCAACTATTTTATTATGAAACGTATATGGAGAGGATGAAAAGTAAAAATTAATTTGTGGGAAATAATGAGCCATAGCTGCCTGAAATCCTTTATCACCATCACCCCTTATATTATCTACTCTTTCATGATCTAGTAAGTATTGTATAGCTCTTCTTGTTTCCTGTTCTGTTTTCCCTTTCACCGGAATGCAATATAAATATCTGGTGTTAATGTTAATGGCAAATAAATAAGTAACGTTTCCTTTTGAATATTCCAGATGATCAATTTCGTATGAATATGGATATAGTGCAAATGAAGGGCGACTAAATTTTCCTTTAACGGTTGAATTTTTGGGTCAATTGGTTTATTTAATATCTTGAAATCCTTTTTAAAATCTTTTTGCTTCTTAAATGTTTGAAATGGATATAATAAAGTGAATGATGAGGATTAACTGAAGGAGGAGGTACTACTGTCGTTGGAGGTTTTGGTGTTGTAAGTGGTTTAATTTTATCTGCTTTGATTTTGGATGATGAAGTTTTGGATTTCATTCCTCCTTTCATTAATTCTGGATGTATTCTATTCATTTGTTTTAAATATGTTGTATATAAAGGTTTGATATACTTTCCCGCTTCGAGTTTATGTTGAAGGATGAATTCCAAAAGTTGATCTTCATTTAAAAGTCGGGCTGAATATGGTTTAACTAATGAATCATAAATTAAAGCTTGTGCATCATTTATGGTCTGAAGGACCTGGGCGTTTTGCACCTTTTGTTTTTGTTCCTTTGGCTTTTGCGGCTCGGGATTATATAATTTATATAATTCATCAATATCTTCTTCTGTTAATACTTTATTTTTGAAATCTTTCAACTGTTTAAGCTGTGATTTAGTTTTTCCCTTTGTATATTCATTATTTTTAATTTTGTCTTTAATTTTAGAAATTATTTTATCATGATATTTCAAAATTTCATTTTTATAATACGAATAATAATAATAATCCATATCATCACCCGTTATATTTTTATTATATTTTTGGAGATATGCTTTTAAATCATAATAATCAAGAAAATTTTGATTAAATACTAAATCATCAATTAAAATTTTTAAATCTGTGTTATCCATTTATATAAAAATAAAATAAATGTTTTAAGGGTGCCCACCTCTTTGAATCATAGTACAAAACCATTATTAACGGTTCCTTTTGTCTCTTCTGTGGCATTTCATTAAATAAACGGCATACAACATCCATTTTCACAACATACAGCCTTAGTGTGTGCTCCTGTTAATGCAGTCTTACCAATTGTTAAGCGAGTCATCGACCCGTTTTTTAAGTTGTAAATTAATATTCTGACCATCAAATATCACTTTATCATTTATTATATCCAAATATTTTTTAGGTGTTAATTGTTTATTTTGTCGTAAACTAACACCTTTCATTTTTTGTGCAATCTTTTTAAAATCACCCATCAATTGAACCGTTGAATGAAGTATAACACTTAGGGCATAAAGCAACCATGTTATCACCTTGTTTCTCAATTGCTAAACCCAATAACTTCTTCTCATGTGCTTTTTCTTCAGCTTTATTCTTTAATTTAGGTTTAAATTTCTCATCAAAACAGAAGAAATCAAAAGGTGCGAATTTGTAAATGTTTTTATCATAAAATTGTTTATCGGTACAATTGCTTGAAATGCTTGAGTGTTAGGAAGACTTGGATCGCCAGCATTGCCCAATAAGATGAATCAGTATCACCTTCAATGAAATGAAAACGATTAACATCCATGCATTTATACATAAAATCATAAATGAAAACCAAATACCAGTATTTAGCATTATCTAAAGTGAAGAATGCCTCTTGTAAACATGTATCACATCTATAAAATCTATCTTTAAGCATCACTTGATACGTATCTTCACCTATTTCTCTTATGTTTTTAAACTTATTTGACATACATGCAACGCGTGCCTTCTGTGCATTCATTATTTTAGTCTTTGCGTAATTTTGTGTATTCATTGCATCGTAACCATATGATCCATTAAGTGAAATCTTGCAAAATAAACTTTTTCCTTTATTTCCTTCTAATTCAGCCTTTTGTCTTTCGTTCATAAATTCGTTCGCAAATTCATTAAAACAAGTGTTTTTAGTAAATGTTAAAATTGATTGAATGTCATCAATGATAAAATGAAATCTGTCTATTAGATACCAAAGATAATAAGAAGAAAATGGTTGATATTGGTTGTGTGTTGATGCTAACTGAGTTAATTTTCTCTGTTTCTGGTCAACTGGTAGATTGTTTGATTTCATGTAATTATACATAAAACTGCCAATTGTTTTTTCATCTGTGATAATATCTAAGTTTCTTATTATCGGTAAAAAGTTTATGTAATCATTAATGTATTTTTCATCAATGTGACCCTTTACTTCAGCCACGAATAAAGTATTTTTCTTTCTAATTATTCCCAGTGCTTTTGCTTTCTTTGTTGCTGTATCACAAATGATAACACCATTCAATCTTCCCGGCATATACATTTTATGGTCAGTATATTGAATGAAATCATGAGGATTAGATGAAAATGATGAAGGATATAATGAATTAAAGTCAACACCAACGAAATGAGTCATAATGTTGGTGTGTCCTCATTTGATACAGTTTTAGTTTCTGGATTATATGAAAGTTTATTAATGTGCGTGATTCCTTTAAGATTAACACGATGTTGAACATTTGATAGACCACCAGTAATTCCATTACGGAGAATGTGATAAGCTTCAACTGAATCTAAAGTCATTGGTAAATTATTTTTTAATGTATAATTTCTTAAATTGATTCTTAAACGTTGAACATCTTCATCTTTATTTGATTTTACGACATTGCAATAACAACACATTAACTGACAATTTTCTTTGGTATGTGGTTTTTCATTATCGATTCTATCCAATGTTGGTTTATTTGCATATGTAAACGCTTTACCACACATTTTGCATTTAGATGAAAGGATTAAATCGTGATAGTATTGAAAATCATCCATTGAAACATTATTTTTAGTATCTCTTTCTGCTTTTTCATCTTGTTTCTTATATGATTCAATTTTATATTTCCAATACTTTTTCGTTAATTCAAAACTTGATTCCACATTTTCTTCTTCTGGATATTTTTCGTTAGGATTAAAGTCTTTATATGCTAAAGCGTAACGAATCATTGATGCATTCGATGATAAAGAAAGATTATGAAGCATGTCAATTTTATAAACAAATGTTTCTTCAATAATTTTATCAATTGGGTCAATCATAATTTCAACATCTTTATTGCAATAATGAATAAAATATTCTAATCTATTCTTAAAATTTTTAGCATCATTGAGATATATTTGATAATCACTATCTGATATAGTTTCTTGAGTTAATGCTGAATAAAATGAATCTTGAGTGAATGGTTCCTCTTTATATAATTCTTCTTCGTAATTTTCCCATGTGATGAATTGATAAGGGAAAAAGGATTTAACACGTGATTTATTGTTTCCGAAATCTTGAGTGAATTGGTCTAATGTCCCACCCGCTATATAATTTCTGATGTCAATAAATCTCAATTCATATGGAACGTTTGTTTTCTTTACAATGATTTGCTTAAATTGTGAAGATGAACCCAGCATTGATTTTATTTTCCATTTTGCAGTGTTTAAATCACGAAGAATTAAATTTAAATCAAACTTTCCCGAATTAAAACCTATGATATTCACTTTATTGAATTCCTCATCTAGAAGTTCTTTAAATGCTTCCTTTGTTTTTCATTTAATGTTTGTGACTTCATTAATTCTTCATATTGTTCAATATTTGATTTAGCAACTAATGAACAGGTTGAAAATAAAAACTCAATCCAATCAGAGATGAACGAATCACTTGAAGTTAAGCAAAAATTCCTCGTAAATGTTTTATCACGGTCTACGACCTCGCCGCTTTGCGGCTTTATTTTGACAGTTGATGATACCATGAATGGTTTTAAGTAAGCGTTCAAAGTTGCACATTCAGAAAGTTGAAGTTCTTCTTTAGTCTCTAATGTTTCGAAGTCAAAAGTAATATAATATCTTGTTGGTTTATAATATTCCTGCAAATTATGTGCTAATAGCCATTGATATATCTTCTGTTTCGTGATATGTGGTGCATATGGTTGTTGTGTGTTTTGCAATTGAACGTCTTGAATTAATCTTCCATTATTTTCTTTACATTTCTCACAATGTTTTAAAAATCTTCTTTGGTTTTTCCTTTCTGGATCATCACGGATAGAATATACTTCTTCTTTGCAAAAGGGGCAAACTTTATAGCCGGTGAGTGCTTCAACGTCTGTTATTCTGTCAGCGTGAAGTTTTCCACATGGACTCTGTGTTAATAAAATATTTACTGTTTCAAATTCTGGATCTATCATTATTGATTCCACTAATGGAAAGTCTACCTTGTTAATGTCTACGTCTTCTGGTTGAGGGTCACAATAATAAAAATCAATATTAACGTTTAACATTCTTGCTAACCTCTCACTTTCTGATGAAATGTCAAACCCTTCATATGCATCTATTGCTTCATTTAAATAGCTTCTACGAGTTTTAGGATTAACACCATCAGGAATGTTATAGAAGCGTTTAAATAACCTTCTACCTTCTGCTTTAATTTGATTATCATTCATTTTAGCTGTTCCATTTTTGTTCATTTATGTAAGAATAAAAATTAAAAAAATAAATAAAAATAAAGTTTATTTTTTTTAAAGTCCAGGGCTAAAGTCCATAAAATGAATTAAGAACACATAAATTTTTATCATCTGCGACGTGACGAATACATTTTAATTTACTCAAGAATGCGTACCCTGATACATTAAATCTAATTCCTGTCTTATTTAATTTCACAACTTTGAAAAGGAATGTATGAATAGCTATAAAATGATGAGATGATGTTTTATGGGTTGCTTCCATTTTTTCTGAAATAAATGAATAAATATAATGCTTATAAGTTTTCATATCTTTTATGTTCTTAATAACGAATGGTATAGACCTTTCCACTTCGTCTTCCTTCGGTGCTGTTCTTTCATATGAAACATTATTGGTATCTTCAATAATGAAACCACAATCACACAAAATTTTATAGGTTCCAATGGTTTCTTTTGATATTTTATCTAATAATCAAAAACTTTATCAACACCTGTGCATTTATTTAAATAATAATTTGTGTAAATATCATGATCTTCTTTCTTAATCGTATTTGTTGCATATGTTACATTTTTCAATGCTTTTTTGAATTTTTCAGAATCAAGAGGAGGTGAAAGTAATATACAGGGGTATTCTTCATTATCAATAAATTGTAACTTATGTTTACGAATAAATTTAGTACCTTCTTCTGAAAGTGTTTCGTTTATTTCACCATCTAATAAATTTTGTGTTGATTCTGAGACATAATTTTTATATCTTTCTTCATGAGATTTCTGTACTTCTGATTCTGAAGCTGGGATATTCATTAAACCCTCTACTTCATTCTCATTATATTTTTCAACTTCTCTTAATTCCTTAATTTTTTCATCTATTTCATCTCTTATTTTTTCCAGTCTTTCAATTTCATCATATTCATCATCTTTAATTCGTTCTTCATAATATTCAGGGAAAACATCAGGTTCTTTAGGTTTTTCTTCTTCAGATGTAGGATATAAGAAATTTATAACATCATCTTTATTCATTTTTCCATCATAATCTAAATCATTTAAAAACTCTGCGAATTTTTTACAATTTCTTAAATAATATTTATCAACTTCATAACCCGCCTCCTCTAATATATCCATTTATTTCCTCATTTGTGAATCCTAATTTTTAACGTTGTTAGTTTTGACGCTCATTTTCTTACGAATTAAAAAATAAATTATTTTAAAAATGTAAGACATGAATTTTTAAAGTTTATTTTCATTCATGAAAATAATTATTTCTAATTTCTTTTACTCTCTCATACATACTAGATTTAAAGAATTCAGAACTTTTACCATAATCTCCTAAATGTTTTCTTATCCCTAACGTGTGCCAGTTATTATATGAAACTGTATAAACTTTATCTTTATCTTTGCATCTTTCATCACTTCCAATATATTTATATCTCAGTTTTGATTTAGCATTTTCATATTCATTAACGTTTAATAATTCACAGTCTTCCTTTTTAAATAAATGTTTTATGTATTCAGGATTTAATACTCTACGTTTATATGCTCCTAACTTAGTTCTAAAGGTTTTTCTACAAAATTTAGGAATTCCATCCTCTTTAATGTCATCAATGATTTCCATTTCATTATTTTCAATTTCTTCTTCTCGTTTATGAGGTCTTTGATTATGACTCCATTGATTCCATGAAATTAAATATTCTTTATCATTATATTTATACCTCATTAGCTTATTTTGGCTTTCATATTCATTTAATAATTCACAATCTTCATTTTTAAATTGAAGTTTAACCCATTCAGGATTTAAACAATGTTTAATTAATCGCGGAATATCTGACATCATCTATATATAGCTTCTTTTATAAAAGATAAAAAAATAAATTATTTTAAAATTAATGTTAATTTTTTAATGTGTTTATAAATAAATATATTTTAATGCATCGTCTATATATAGATGTAACAAAAAAAGTCACAAAACCCGCACTCATATACTACTAAGGTGAATAGAAGGCAAAGTTTGTGAAAATTAGTTTATGAGACAATTTAGGATTGATAATTCTTAAGAAAAAGGAAAAAATAGGTGCACTTTACCAATAACCGATCCTCTCAATTTTAGCAAATTTAGAAAGTACTTAAATGCTTAAATAACATACTTATCTGAACCTCCTCTTAACCTTTAAAATACCGCATATATGAATAAGTTTATTTTAAAGCTTATAATAATAAGGTCTTTTTCAACTTAAAAGAGCAACAGAATATTAATATCAAGCAAAGGTCAAAAAATCAATGCGTACAATTCCTATATTTTCAGCCGATTCAAAACTTATTTCGGCACAAAATCACAATTATAATCGATTAAGTCTCATTCATGCCAGGCAAAATACATAAATCCCCACGAGCTGCATCACTCTCTTTTAAAAATTCTATTCTAGATGTTCCTTCGATAAGTCCATGTTGTGTTTTGGTTTTCAACCACACTGGACGATTTGCTATCTCTAGTATCAAAAACTGCATTCTTTTTGTTGAAAAACAAACCGAATTTTTATCTCTGATAAGAACATCAAATATTGAAGCACAATTAGAGGCAAACCAAAATATACCGCATCTTATTACTTCATTTCTATTCATGGTTAAATAACCCTGTTATAAAAGAATAAACAAACAATAATAAATAAAAGAAAAAGAAGGTTGACAAGTATCGAATGGACAACTTGTCAAGGAAAATCTTATATAAGTCCCAAAAATATCAAATTCAAACATTGAACCAGAAATAGAACCCCAGCTATCATTCATGAAGTTAATTCTGATTCTATTATAAAAGGATGGCTGACGATATTCAAATAAAACGCGTTGATTTGGAAAGTTAAGATTTTTATATGATGTAATTAATTCATATGTTTTTCCATTGTTTGATCCAACAACATCAAAAGCAGTGACATATGGATTATGGATAAAATGCATAACTAATCCGGAATAATTAAATATTCCTTTAAATCGAATTTCGACATGAGGATCTTCATATGGGGAATAGTAACCTGTTGTGTTAATTTCATCAAATGCATTCTCTATTTGCCTTTCAGGATCGGTATTATTCTCATTTCCCGGAGTTCCATCAATTTGGAAATAATTGTTAGAATTTAAAGACTGTGATCTGAGAACGGTCCTTAAAAATCCATCTCCGTTTAAAGTTGGACAAGTTAATGATGTTTCTTGGACATCGAATTTCGGCTTGGAAATTAATTTATGACACTTTTCAGGATGTCATAAGTGAAAAATACATTCACGAGACTTCCCAACAATAAAAATACCTTACTATTAATATTCTTCATCGAATTAAAATATTTATTCATAGATAGCTTTTTATCTTTTTTTGTGATGCAAATGATGAATTCTGATGATAGTATTCTATATTGAAATTGTCATTTTTATGACTAAGTAATTATTGTTTTGAGTTTGATATAAATAATTCAATATTGAAGATTGCGGCATATTATATAGAATCAATCAATCTTCTTTCATCATTTTTCGAAAGAGTTATTTCCAATCTAGACGATATTCCAAATTTCACTTTCATCTTGGATATTGAAATTTCATGAGTTTTGAAAGACATCAATGACATTGAGATATTAGAATAAATCTTATATATGAATAGAATTACAATGAAATTTACGAATACAAAGTTTGATTCGTATCGTTAATTTTGAACTTTGCCAAAAAAGGTTTATTTATAGTAAACGGTCATTTGTACATTAAAACCAATTGGAAGGGACACTCGATAGCATAAAAGAATAAATGCATCAAATTTGAATGAGTTTTCAAATTAATCATTTTTATGACTCCTAGCAAGAAGAACTACAGATTCACAGCTCATAACAGAAAAAATGTAGATAATAAAAAACAACATACCGTTCTTAATACCATGGCAATAAATGAGAACACATTGACTGATAAAATTGATGATGTCGCCTTAATTAATACCGCATTTGAAAAATCATTGATATCTCTTTTGTTCTCATTACCGTATGACAAATATTCATGGAGTACGGATGTTAGAGAACTATATTATTCTCAACTAATCATCCTCAAAGAATTATATGTTACACATATCAAAAAAATTAGGATTTTTCCATCAAATACTTATGAAACTTTCGAGACAACTGAACCACAAGATCTTTCACTATCAAAACTTAATGATTTTATGACATATTCATTTAAATTTTTTGCACTTGGCGATTCATGGTCCCTTATGAATGCAGACTCCTTATTTATATTCATCAATACTGTTGAAAGATTTGAAAAACGCTCGAAATCAACAACAAGCAAAATTTTTAATGCATTTTCCTCTGAACTGTCCACAGTTGGCACTTATTTAACTAGTTGGAAACGGTCTATTAATCATAAAATCCATTCTTTTATAAAAAAGAAGGCAGTCGAATCCAGAAATGCAATTCTTCGATCACCATATTATGTTGATTTAAATAAGAATGACTAACTTTTTTTTTGTTTTGCAGGTCTCACTTATCATTTTCTATCATTCTCTCAAATTGCTGGTTAAGATTTTAATTGCTATGGCTATTCGCGTATGTATTTGATACTTTATTTGGTGATAAACTTCTTTAAATATCATCTCTATTTATTGAATAATTTATCAATTGCAACAAACTCATAAAATCGCTCAAAAGTTCGTTTGAAATCAAAAGTAATGAATCATTAGATACCAAAAAAATATAAAAAAATTTATAATAAATTGGTTAAATATGAATTAAATTCATGCAAAAATGTTCTTAAGGTCATTAAGAACTGAAGCTGTGAGCGGCTGTGCCTTTGAAAGGATCTTTACATCAACTTTCTGAGCACCGAATTTCACGTGAATGAGAACCTTGAATGGTGTTGAAACTAACAAACCCATGAAAATCTCTTCTTGACCAATTCTTTGAACAGTCTTGACGTGTGCCAAATTGTTCAATGCGGCGGAGATATCATCCAATGTCATTCCATCCTTCTTCTGGAGAGAAAGGACTAATTCACTGCCTCCTGACTTCCAAGCAGCTCCAAACTCGTTCGTTGTTGCTGTCTGAGGGACAATGAATGTCAACAAATTCGCTGGCAAATTGACATTAACTGTCTTTCCATTGTAAACGATATTTGCTGTGAACTTGAACTGTGGGAATCCCTTCATCTGCTTGGGGAAAGAGAACGATGTCAACAAAGTAACAGCGTTTTGTTGAGGGATGCAATTGATATTTGCTGGATGAGAAACAACATCTTTGTTCAAAACATCCGGTCCATCAATTGAAATCTTGCATTCTCCAATTGGATAATCAGTTGCATTCATTACAGCAACTAAGATCTTTCCTTGTCCGCAAATTGCGATAACTTTGATTGTATCATCAGCGAAAACAGGAGCAGGAGAGAAACCTTGTGCAAAGAATTCAGCAATCTCTTGTGGTTGTGGTTGTTGTAACTCATTTATTGCTTCTTCAACATTCTGCTTTTGTTCATCAGTCAACTCATTATTTGTAATTTGTTGTTGCTGTTGTTGAGGTTGTTCTGGAGCTGGTTGCTTTGGTTTCTTAGCAACTGGTTTAGCACCTTTGAAGATAGAAGCAGCGAGTTTTTCTTTCTTCTCTTGGTCGCTGTTTTGTGCTTTCTTTCCTGCAACAGAAAGTTTTGCGAACATCGAAACTTTCTTTGGTGCATCAGGAGTATTATACATTCCATCAGCATTGTAACTTGGTGTTGCTTCTTCTTGTGTTTGTTCAGTGACTAATCCATCTTGTCCCCAAACAGCAGCAACGCCAACAGTGTTCAATGCTGAATAATCATCAACTTGTGATTCATCTTGCTGAGAATTCTGTTGAACATTGACTCCATCAGCGGAATAAATATTTCCTGGAGTTGATGAAGCGTAAGGAGTGTAAATAAGTGTTGGTTTGTTTGTGACAATGATATCTGTATCTCTGTCGTCCAAAGGAATATATTGAGCACCGCCTTTTGCAATGGATTCATTGACTAAGTCATCGAGGAATGATAATTGTGGATCTTCCTCTTGATCCATTGCCAAAACAATACTCAATGATTCCTTGAAATTCAACAAAGAGAAAGCTTCGTAACAGATCTCTTGAACAATAATTGAACTACTTTGTTTGTAGTTCTCGAATACGTCTAATACTTCTTGAGGAACATCTTCAATCTTTGGAAGTAATTTAAGGATAGCGTTCAAAACCCATTCTCTTGGTTTGTCGTATCCATCTGCCAAATCACATAATAACAAAATAATGAAGGATAAATCGTATTCATCAGATAATTCGGCATAATTTCCTATGACATGAGAAATGACAGTTACAAATACATCAGATAATTTGCGAGAGGATTGTGCGACATCCAAATAAAGATTGACAATGGATCTCCTCATTTCTTCATCGCATTCTTCATCGATGATTCTCATGACTTGGAATGCAACATCAGGATTAACTAAGTCTCCGCCCAAAGAAAACAGTTGCTCCATTGTTTTCGCAAACCATAATGGAGATGGAGAATATTTGGAAGCGATATCGGTGATTTTTTCGGATAAATCACGTCTGATGACTTCGTTCTTCGTTCTCTGGAAGAATTTCAACATGTTGACAACAATGATTTGGGCATTGTCTTGTGAGGCCATGTTGTGGAGGAGATTCAATGTAATGAGACGAATTGATGGGTCAGGATGCTCAAGGCAATCGATGATTGTAGACTGGAATTCAGTGGCGAAGTCAGGAATGCTCGATAATACTGATAAACCGATGTATTTGTAGTTTTGTTCTCTTGATCCCATAAATAAGGAAATTGCACCGCGGAGTTGAGGAATCTCTGTAAGATCGAGAGCTATTGCTGTTTTTACGGCTTCGTAGAGGACAGCGGCTGTTGCTGGAGACTCACAAGTGCCGGCTTGTAATGCGGAGGTAACAATGGCTTCAACGGCTTCGTTGATGCCTGGCTCTGTAACGGCGATTGTTTGAATGAGTCTGAAGATGTTGATGAGAACGAATGGAGCTCCAATTCGTTGATGAACGTATTCGACTTTGGAATTTCCGGCCAAAATTAACTGGGCGACTCTTGTAAAGTCTGGTAACATATCGCAGATCTGACGAATGTTGAGCTTGTTGATAAGAAGGCTTCTAAATGTGATAATGATTGCGTTGACAATTGAAAGATCTGGATCTGAGCAAAGACGACAGAGATCTGGGAAGAAATCAATAACGCACATAGGATCCTTCCTGATAAAGGATACAACGCACATAATCGCCTTTTGACGAATAATTGGGACTGTGTGGTTCAAGCACTGAGCAATAAATCCGATAACTGGTTGAATGAGCTCAGGAGTAACAAGTTGAGCAATTGCGGTTAAGGCTAAAGCCATAGATGTTGGATGACCTGAAGAAAGATCTCTCTGAGTAGAGTTAACAATAAGAACAATAAGATCGGATTTGGAATCAAAGAGTGCAGAGCATGCCAAATAGCCAAGTGCCTTTGTCATCATTTGTGAATCTTGAGTGAGATTTACTGCATGAATTTGGCCGAAACTTGTGTTATAGCCAAGTAAGGTAAGTTGGACTAAAGAAATTACATTTTCATAAAGCTCTGATATAGACAGCTTTGATTTTGATAATGTTTTTCTTACATCTTGCATCCATTTCGTTACAATTAATTCTTCGGATTCACGACTCTTGCAATCACCAATCGATAAGCAGATGTCATGAAAATTCTTCGAAAGTTTGATCTTTTGGACTTCTTTACTAAACATTTAGAAATAAATTTGTTTTATTGTTTGACATCTCACCTGTAAACTACACAAATTTTGATTGGAAAAGAAGGATCGTAGATAAAAAAATCTTCACTGAGTAACATACATCATATCAAACTCAATTTTTGATAAACAGCCGATAGGCATAATTTGTTTCCCGGATCAAGAATCGATATTTGAGAGTCATCAGGAATAACACAGACTGATGAATTGTTAGCTAGCCTTTTTACATATTATTGATCTTGGAAAAACAAAAAATAATGTTATGAAATCCAAAATTCAATAAATACAATATGATTCGGAACTAATTATAGCTATCCTTGCAGATGGTCTATAAGAGTACTTCACAAAAGTGGCTTAAATATTAAAATTAGTTTATGAGATTTCACGTGGTATTTATGTATACACAGGTGATTGCTGCTGATAATGCAACTTTGAGAAGAATCTTTTGTGATTATTCTTAAAGTTGCATCAAAGACAGCCACTTATAGACAATGGTTGTCTTTGTGTGCAACAATCCCTTGCATTGACAAAAATAACAAGTAATTGTTACTGATAAGGCAGCTTCGTGAAGCACTTATAAAACGTATCTCCATCATAAGAAGCACAAAATAAAGACCTATTCTTGCCCAAACTAGATCGATAAAATATATAACTAATAAGTGGATGTATGCACTCAATATAATAATACCTAAACTATGCTCTGATCAGTGGTATATATTCAAATCAAGAATAAAACGATTCCTGCCTAAAACCGATGTGTAATTTTTTTTGTACGTTATAAAAAAATTGGTATACAACCAAGAAAGTTCTTCATTATTTTTAACCTTAATATGGATGTTCTATCAGTAATTGATTCGCACCATTGGAGAAATTCATTATCTAATGATTTTCGACCTGATGATCTGTGTTTAAATATTGAAAATGAGTACTTGACTTGGCTGAAAAATTACAATTGACTCGTTATTATTGAGTATGGTCATAGTGCTTGGTTGATTAAATTAAGTGTGTTTATAGTACTTTTTTAAAGAATTAATATTTTATAGTATAAAATTAAGTAATATATGATTAAATATTCATTGTATAATGAAAGTCATTATGAAGCTAAGTTGAAAGTCACAGAAATTCGAAATAAGTATGTCTTCGAATATCCGTGTGAAAACAACAATGATTGTACAGACTACGTAATCACATTTTCACCAGGTGTATACAAATTTGAGTTGTATGGTGCATCTGGTGGAAGTTCAACTGGTCATGTATCATCATATCGATATCCTAATGGTTCATGTATTGAAGACAAAATTGTTGAATCTGTTAAGGGTAATACTAAATGTCTTCGACAGTCTAGTCTTGGTGGTGCAGGCGCATACATCAGTGGCACAATATATTTATCTAATGAAACTATCTCATATGCTACTATTGGAGGTCGAGGAATTTTTGATTATAAAATTCAGGAAGAAGCCACTAAACAATGCTATGCAAAAGAAAACATGATTGAAGGAGGTTATGGAGGTGGAGGGTATGCTGCAAATTGGTATCGTAGATCTAATTTCTTTGGATCAGGTTCAGGAGGTGGTCAAGCCGCTGTCAAATTTGTCAAAAATGATCTTTGGCATCGAGTCATTGTAAGTGGTGCTGGAGGTGGTGCTGATAGCAAAAATGGATCACTTCTTGGAGGCGATGATGGTACATGAGGTTCAGGTGGTTTAGAAGGACAAGGATGGTTTTTAAACGGTCAATATCAATCAAAATATTTATCAAATTCCAAATTTGGATTCAGTTTTGGTTCGGGTGAATCAGCACAAGAAACAAAATCATTGAATCCTCAAGGAGTTCAGACAAGTACTGGTGCGAGTGATCGACCTGGTGCAGGATCGGGTTGGTTTGGTGGCTTTGCAGGTCATCATCAAAATGGAGGTTCAGGAGGAGGAAGTTCATGGATTTTGTCTAAAGATGCAGTTATTCCGGAAAATGATATTGTTTCATATGACAGTTTTTATAATTTTCTTGGAACATCTAAATATGCATTCACAAAGACAGACTATTTATTTAACAATGTCATTGATGCATCGGGTGTTTGGGAAGGTAATGGTAAACTTGTCATTACTATTCTTAATTTCATTAATTGTCCAACAGTTTGTGTTTGTTATCGAAATCCTCCAGAAATTCGAGTTCAAATTGGAGGCACCAGAAATCCTGATTTATCCCCCTGAAATATTTGATTACTTTAGATACAAAAAAGTGACAAATATTCCATTCTTGACATCCGTTGAACATCTCGTTAATCCGTTCATCGAACCATTGTTGTTGCATGACTATTCAGTGTTCACTTCACCTGAAAATGAGTCACTTTTGTTCAAAAACGTTTATTTGGCATTAATTGCTGTTTCTACAGGATATAAGTTTGAAGTTGAAAAATTGACGGTTTTATTCAAATCTTTTATATTGTTTGGATCACCAAGGATTGTCGACACACTTCTAAAACTCGCAGACAAGACAATGAATGAAAATGAAAGTACAACGGTTTTTGTAAAGTTCTTAATTATAATTGTTGATGAATACTTCGACAAAATTTCGACAAGATTCGTTTACAAACAAAATACGATACAAACCGTTTTTACAATCATTTCTTTCTTGAAGCGCATGTTCAACAAATTCTCTTCCATCAGAGAATTCATGTTGCAAACAGCTGCTTTGCATCCAATTGTTACTTTCGCTGTATTGAATAATTCTTTGGAATGTTTGAGAGAAGGTGTCACGTTTAAGTGTATTTTATCGTCATTTACGGGCGTGGAAGGAAAAATCAAATCGTTTGATGAAATAGAAAATAAAGCGGTTGCTATCGTTGATGATAAAGAGTATGAAATTGAAATTGACAACTGCGGAGATTTAGTTGTAAATTGCGAAGTCAAAGTTGATTTGAACCCAATTTCTGACATTTCCAATCTGATTTATTTGTTCAATTATCAGTACAAGGAAGAATACAAAGACATATTCAGATTGGCTTCAATTTTGGAATTTGTCAAAACCGAAAAGTTCACTTCACAAATTTCACAACATGTCAATTTAGATTTTCTTAAGAATTGTTTCTCAGAAGGTTTCATTCATTCACAGTCCTTCCAGAACTTCTTTTCCTCATTTTCTCTTGCAACAACATGCAAGAATGATTTCGGATTTTCTTTAACATCCAAATTGACAGAATATCCTTCAAACAAAGGAATTTTCATTGTCAATAATGGAAGCGCCGTCTTCACTTCACCGGCCATTTATCCACGAGCCAAGTTTGAAATGATTTTGGAGACACCGAAATCCTCGAAATCGAAATCACAAGTTTCGATAAATATTTACGCTGAAAGTGATGTTCCAAAAGCACTTTTAACATGGAGTAAATCAATCAAACTCGGGCCAGAAGAAAAGTTTACTATTAAGACTGTTCCAGAGCAGCTTCTTTTGGATGTAAATTCCACAATGATTTCGATTTCTCCTTCAGTTTCAAAGATTTTTATCGTTTTTACTTTGTCAGAAGGAGCAACTTTGAAATACGACGTAAATGTCGATTCAAAGATCTTCAAGGTTTCACAGAAAATGTCAGGAAATATCTTGAGATTGTCATCGAACCATCCAGGTGTTATACCACCACTTCAAAAGATGTTTTTGCTCGCAAAATCTTGCGAAACAAGTTCCCAAATTTCTTTCAGAATCAAACAAAAGATTTTGTCACTTTTATATTTGTCCGGACTCCATCCTTTGAGTACAGAAGAGATTATATCTATTATTCCTATTGCAACTCAACTTGAAAAAATTAAGTTAGGGGTATTTGAATCCCTACAAGATGCTTGTCAAATTCCCTTATTAATAGCATTCAAATTCTCTTTTCATATTAAATATTAAAATTATTAACAATAAAATTGGAAATTTATCATTAACAATAGCTGCCAACTGCCTATAGTCATCATATACGACCATTTCATTCACTAAGAACTTCAAAATTTCTGTTATTCATTTATTTTGTATGAGATTTTTGTTATGATTGTAGAATATATAGGAGTATAAACGAGCTGCTTCATGAGATAACAAAGTTTGAATATTGAAACATGTAAAAATGATAAGTATTCAAATGGATCATTTTGATAAATTCTATTTGGAATCATATTCTATGAATAATGATTTACATCAATATGATTTGAACAGATATCTATTCATATTCTATCAGACCTAATATTTAAAAATAAAAATTAATTGAAATTAAATTCAATTAAAAACTTAATGATTTGCATATTAAGTTGACATAGTTATCATATACTACTTCTAACAAGACAGAAGTGTTTCAACCTCCAATTGAATACAAAGTTAGGTTAATATGATTTTAAAATATATATTTCATATGTGATTTCATATTAAAAATGAAAAATACCTAAATTTAATTTTGAGAGAACTCATAGAAACCATTCTGACACATGTTTTGCTAATTAAGTTATTTAAAATCAGGATAATGAGTAGAACAAAAAATTCAATGGTAATTTCCCGACGGTTATTCGTTATGACACATTGGACCAATTATGTAATTTTGAATGAAATTCTGCCTTATGAAGGTGCTGCCTGCCTTTGAAGTGGTTTATTATATTTAATACATAATGGTTAATATAACACTTAAGATATTTAACCCCTAACTTATATTATAAAATCAAATAATTTTTATTTTTCTTCAAAATTCCTAAATATTTATATTACTTTGCGGAACTTATTGTTGTTCGACTGTTGGTTTTGTTTATTTTTATTAAATAACATTATTTATACAATTTTCTTCATTATAAACCAATTCCATGCATTACAAACGATAATTAATCTTGAGTATTATAAAACAAATATAAAATCAGATAGCTCTATGTTTATATAGTATTTGCTCTAGGTACAATATTTTGGATATGTATAATGCTATAACAGACTTTTGGATATATGAATATGCTTAGATGAATGTGATAGCATATATAAGAATAAAGAGGGATGAAAATTTCATACCTTTGCCCATTTTGATATCAATTATTTAATTTGTGAAGAGAATTATCTATGTTTTGTCTAAAGAAATCTAATAGACTATAAAATCCTAAATAATATGAGCTTAATTTTTATTTTATTAAAATTTTGTTTTTTCAGTATTTTTTCATAGATTCATCAAAAATTGCTATCTAATATTAATATGTAATTTTCAAATGTATCAAACAATTTTATTTTTGAAAACACAAAATATTGTATCTAGGGTTGTTAAAAATATCAAAAATTAGCGTTTTGAAGACACCATGGTGTCTTATAATTTTCCCTTCCTTATTGGCGTGTAGAAATAAATGCGCCAATAGATTGAAGAAGAAGAATTGTTTTTCTCTTAATGAACTTTAATCCTTTTGATATAAGAATATTAAAAACATTAATATAATTTCGATTTCGGAAATTAAATTTCCAAATTTTTTGTCGATTTCGGAAATAACAGGATCCCGCATCCAACACGCAACAACAAAACACAAAACACACTTTTTGGTTCTTTCATCGTTTTAATCGTAATTTATGTAATACATGATTTGGATAAATTTTACAAAAATAGAACCTATATTATATTCTTTTCAAAGATTCTTGCAAATCATCAAAAATAATTGTATTTTAAAAAACGATCAAATTATCCTTTCATTATTTTAAACTTAAATTAGTTTTTATGATTGACTAAAGCAATCATATTTATTCATCATTAAATAAACAAAAAAATAATATTTGAGAGTTATTTCAAAAAAAACACATTGAATTTATTAATTTGTCTCAATTTCAGTATTATAAATTTTTATAATTTCAATATTTTGAAATACACTTTTTAATATTTCAATATTTATGATATTTCAATGTATTAAGTGGTCTCAAATTGAGCTTCTCAAATATAAGTTGGCCTATTCAAATAATAAAATTAAATAATATTTAAAATAATAAATAAAAGTGATTGAGGTCATAGCAAAACGGCTGTTTCAGTCATTAATTCTTAAAAATAAAAAGGGTAAAAACTAAATACAATGGGTAAAATTCAATAGTGTCTGTGCTATCGTTCAATTTGAAGGTGTCTTTTGAAACCGCAAGACACATTGAATTTCTGAATAGTGTATTATGGTTTGACAGACACCAATGAAAAAAATAAAATGATATATATTTTAAATATATAAGATCCTTATATAAAATATAAATATTTTATCGTTTTATTTTCTTGTTTTAGAAATGTTTTTTATTGAAAAATCAATAAAACTAACTCCAAAATAAAATTTTTGATTTAAAGACACTATGATGACACCAGGCAAATCTTCCAAGACACCTATCGTCGGGAATCTAACACCCCTAATTGTATCTTTCTTTTTATTAAACACATAGTCTAATCAAAATCAAATATAATAATCAGAAAAATCTTCGAACTGGAACATTTCACAACGTGTGAAACCCATATTGCAATCAACAAGTTTATATTTAAAATATAAGTCCAATATTGCTTGCTTTATGGTTGAAGCACTTCTAACAAGACTTTTCTGAAAAAAATAGTATATTTGAAAATTATCTGATATTATATTCCAATGCATTTGCAATCATCAAAATTTAAAAATAATGACTTTTCTCTCAATTTAATTTGCAATAAAATTCGCAGATATTAGATTTTAATTAATATCAAAATATTGGCCAATAAAAACTTTTGATCAATCCACTTTTAAAATCGGAAAATCGTGAATTTTTAAAACACGCTTCGAAAACAGAAAAAAATCGAAAAATGCAAATCATCTCAAAACTCGCCCATTTCAAGATTTTCCTTTAATTCGAAATAGCATGATGCTAAAGCATCATACCAAAAGGTGTGTATATTGACGAGAATTGAAAAATATCAATCTGATGAATAGCAAAATAAGCATTTATAATTGAGGCGAAAACGATAAATCTCATTTTGCCTCTCAATTTTTCTGAGTCTCTCAATTTTTGCAGTGGTCCCTTAAACGTACACTTTTTCACTAAAGGTTGAATGTAATACAAGTTTTGCTTTTTATACAATATGGAGAGAAAACGTATGGTTCCACTGCTGGCCCATAGATCCAGCTGAGATCTCTATTGGATGAGCTGAAGATTATTTTTGTATTTGAGAAGTTGATCTATTTAACCAACATTACACAGTGAATTAAAATTAAAATTTATCAAATAATCAAAAAAATACTCTCTCATTTGATTAAATAGTACACAATTTAAAAGAATTACATACACATTATATATTTACATACAAAACATTATATTTGTGTTGAATTTGGTATATATTTCCAACATTCAAACCTTTCATATTCATAAATTTTAACCCATCCGTTATCAGAAGTAATATTTGCCCAATTTTTAAATGCTTTCTGATAAGAAACTGCATAAGTTATATTTCTTTTGATGAAAAAGTCCGAATCTTCCGGATGTTCCATCATATAATTAGAATCTCTATCTCTTCCGAAATAATCCAGTCCATGTGACAACAGCCATCCTCCGTATCCCATGTAGCTCTGTCTTCCAGCCATTGTCAGGACAGGATTGCTGTGCCATTGGTCCGTCAGCCAAATTGCATCTGTTGGGGTATTTTCCGACACCCATTTGCCAAATTCAACGGCGTCATCTTCGAACATTGGAGTTGATGTTGACATTTCTAATACGTATAATCTAATTGCAGACAAACAAGAGAAGAAAAGGATAATTACACCTATGACTCTCCACGTTTTGTGTCTAAGCAATTTTGCAATGAACAATCCATAGCAATGTATAGCGAAAGGAATCCATGCTGCGTAGAAAACTTTAGTGTTATCTAGTTCCCAAGGTTGATACCTTATGATGTTTGTCAAAATAAAAACAACAATAGATGGAATATAATCGATTTTTTGTTCTTTTGACAAAACAGACCAACAACTTATCAAAGAAACAAAAGCAAACAGTCCTAGACCACGCCACCATAGTTTTATGGCCATGCTCCACTCCCTTTTGCGATTTTCTGAGTTCCAAATCGGATCTAAAACAAGAAAACCGCTGCCGCCATCTGATTCTTTAACTGTAAGTCGCTTTAGATATGGTGTGAACTGAGGAACGCATAGTACATTGGCTACAATGCCGAATATCGACCAAACAAATACATGGGAAAGCATTTTCGACTTGTTTTAGTTAGTATGGGTTAGTTGGGTACTGAGGCACTGCGTTCCACCTTACCCATTATATGTGAATTTGACACTTTACAAAACCACTAACGTATATTTTACAACACAAACGACAACACTAACTTAACCTTAAATATTTACAAAGCCGCCAACCACTTCACCTCACTAACATTTTCACTAACGAACTCACTAATGAAAAAATAAACGTTCTCATAAATTTTCTTCTATATCTTCATCGTCAATGTTAACTCTATTGTAGTCATACTTGAAGTCATAAAGTTTCTCAAGTTTTGAAATGCATAGTCTTGTTAACTTACCTTCATCATCATAAGTTTTTATAAAACTACCATGACAATCTTTATAAACAGTCAATGTATAATCTACTGGTCTAGGATGAAGTGTAAAGAACATGTTATACTCAGGAAGGAAGAATAAATGTTTAAATGTATGCTTGTTATATTTTTCGATTTGTATGAGTTGCTTTTGTTCTGTCATTTATAAAAAAATAAAATAAAAATAAAATAAAATAAAAAATAAACTTAAAAATTAATGATATCACCACCCTCACACGTATGAAAACATAGCACAAAAATAAATTTAGGTGAAGTGGTGATATCTCACCTCTTTTTTCACCTGTTTTTTCACCCTGTTGAATTCATTGCTTTATAACTCTCTTCCTTGGTTTCTTTTTAGTTGCTTTCTTCACGTCTGTCTCCAACTTGACTGTCTTTCTTCTTCGTCCGTAATGATACCAGTTACTTCCACCAGTCAATGGGTCAAATGGTCTTTCGTAAGGGTTTCCATACATTCCATAGGGACCATACGGAAGAACTACTGGTGGAGAAGAAACATTTTCTTTAGTTCCATCGACTCTATTTAAATGCATTGTTTCACCTTTCATCTGGTCATTAAAGTCTTTTGCGTGTTTTGCAAACTCATCGTCCTTTCCTAAAGCATTTTCTGACTCAGTCGCAACCAAATTGGATGCTTTATTTATGAGCCCTATTTTATTTAATCTTAACTTCTTTGCAACCCAGCCTCCAATCTTCCCTTTATTTGCATCTAATGTCTTCGAAACCCTACCTCCACTCATTTTATTTACTGCGTCATAAGCTCCAAGTGCTTTTGCTCCAAATGCTAATGCTTTTGTTCCCATTGCGCCTAAAGCTGCCCAAGCTACCATTTACACCATATTAAAATCATCTCTCTTCAATATTATCTCATAAAAGTTCTCGTTACTGGAGAAAGTCAATGAAACATAAGCGTTCTCACGGGCTTCGCCCTCACCGCTTTGCGGTCTATCTAACTTATTTCTTATATCATCTATGCGCTTCAAAATGTCTGAACAATTGCTAACATCTTCTACAACAGTTATTTCATCATGAATGACCTTCAAGAACAAGCTCATTTAATATGCAATTAAAATCATTTCAATAATGAGTCCATCCTTTCCATCTTTAGGTAGCACAACATCTTTCATTGAAGAAGGTTCGACAAGTCTTATGTTAAACTTACTGACAAAGTTTGTTATACTATAATGCTTCGGCGGCGAATACATGTAGTTTGAAAGACATAATATAGATTCTTCAGCAAATTCACTTATACTGGATTTTATAACAATGTTCTCACGAGACCAAATACCACCAATTGACAATCTTGTAAGCAATCCTGCTGAACCTTCTACTGTAAACGTCGATGGTAACATTCCACGAAGGTCATCTATTGACATCGTTGAGTCACTGTATTTAAGTATTTTCTTAAAGCAATCGTCATTATCTAACCATGCAATAGCTTTGAAGTTTTCATTCGAATATACATCTGCTTCATTAAATGTAAAACCTGACTTCTTTGCAGAGATGACTTTAAAATCTATTGAGTTTGTTTCAAAATTATATGCTATGGTAACTTCTGAAGGTAATGGATGTCCTTCCGCAGTCAGTTATTCTCTCACTACCGTTTGAAGCTTTGTGTTAAAAACTTTCATGTCATCTCCTGTATCTAAGTTCACATACACAGCAACAGGAAAACTATCTTGCTTCTTTGTTTCATCATTATACCTCAAAACATTAAAGTTCTTCAATAATATTGTTCTTCCTGCTGGAATACTTCGAACCTGTCTGATTTCAATAGCTTTCTCACCTCCTACATACTCTACCCAGTGTCTTGGATATTCATAAGTATACTGACTTTCTTGAATTTTGGTAGGTTTCATCATAACGTGTTCATAGTATATCTTTATACTCTTGTCAGTTAGACTCGGTGCTATGTTCTGAATATTTCTGACTTGCATTTTTAATGGAGATAAAATGAAGCATTTAATACATGACGTAGATGAAGACATGAATGAAACTACAGACAAACTTAACTCTTCTCTTATTCTTCCTTTCAGCAAAGATTATGAGTTCTGTTCAAATGGTGTGTATTTCTATTGTGGAAAGATGGGGTCAGGAAAGACATTCAACCTCATTCGTCATATACTCATAACAGAACGTTTAGGAAACGACTCTTACTATGACCAAATCATTATATCAGCAACTTCAGACTCTATGGACTCAACAGCGAAAACATTTATGTCAAAAGTTCAAGCCTCTGTCGTTAAAGTTCCAGACAGTGAACTCATTGAATTTCTTCAACGTTACATTCGACGTAAGAGGAAATATTATGCCATCGTTGAATTTATACAGTCAGGAATGCAAAAGACTTCTGAGGAGATGGAAAGAATTATTGACAAACACCACTTACGTCAATACTCAGGAGTTTACGATATGAAACGACTTACAAACTACATTCTGTCAAAACTTTCAAAATACCCCTTCAAAAAGTATCCTTCAAACACTCTGCTCGTTTGTGACGACTTCGCCGGAAAAGGTTTAGTGTCAAAACCAGACTCACCATTAGCTAACATCATTACTAAAGTCAGACATTACCACTTAACTGTAGCAATACTTATGCAAACATGGAGGTTTTTAGCTTTAAACATAAAACGTCTCATAACTGACTTCGTTATCTTTCAAGGTTTCTCACGTTATGATATTGAACTCATTTGGAAACAGTCAGGTATAACATTACCTTTTGAAGAAATTTGGGAAGCATATAAGTCTCTCATCTCTCCTCGTTCATACCTTGAGATTCATATCATGACTAATACCATTAAAGTCAAAAATATTCCATGGGAACGACCAACATTATTTTAAAGCATAACCATCAATTGACTGATGGTAAACAAATTCCATGCATCTCTGTCGCCATTTCTGTTAATATTTTTGCTGTCATTCATATCATCCACTTCCCCATCCGTTAGCTTTTGAGGATATGCGTTAGAATAGCTGTTCTTAAATGAAGGCTTTTCACCTTTGAGAGCATAAACTCTATAACTTTCTGCATACTTTATGTTTGAACCTCCTGAGCCATCATTGACATAAATTTTTATAGGCTTCCACCCTTTGTTCATGTTCCTGCTTCTTCCTTAGCTCTTTTGTTCAGTAGTTCTACATCTTTATACACAGCACCTGTCTCAGTGAATTCAACAATATTTTCATTCGTTAGCTTTGCATTCAAACCCTTGTCGAGTATATTGTTCATTTCATACATATAAAAGGTTTTTATTCTATATGAAATGAGAAGCAAATCCATCTTAGCTGGTGCCGTTAATGTTCCAATTGAACCAACATCAAATGTTGACTCACGAACGACAAACAATATTGTCATAAAGAACTATAGTTCAAAGTGTTTGAAAGAACCAGAACCAGAGCTAAAATCCGTGAATTTAAACTCAGCTTCAAACGCTAACGCTACATCAGATGTTAAGTTAGAGTATCCACCACTGGACCAAATTCTTTCAAGAGAAGCCAACGACAATCCTTACACAAATGTTCAAACAAATCCTTCAGATAACGTAGACCATTACCTTCTTCAGTTATACCAAACAATTTTACTCAAAGACGATAAGAAGCTTTTGACAAATCTTATAAGCAAGAACCAAATAATTCTAACAAAGGAGGGCTTGAAAATGTTATCTCACGAATAACAGGGAAACAATGTGTCATTGACTATCTCGACCCTGAAATCGAATGCTGTGGTCAAACTCCACTATTCATGAAAAGGTAACATCCGCATCATTGAAACACCAGGAACTACAGGAGTTGAGTTTAAGTATAAATATTCGAACGAGTATACAAAACTATCTACTGACTATAAGCTTTGTTTGAAATATGTTTTAGTAAATTAAAGCAGTCAGGAGGGCTCTTTGAGCCCATCTTGGCGCTTTGCGCCGTCAGTCAAAAAAATTTCAAGTTAGCAATTTGTAATATCTATCCAAAACTTCTTCAACAGTATCGAACTCATCTTCATAATGCAAACCTAATCTTATTGACTTGGTGCTGTTTTCACTAACACAATATTTTTCTGTTCTCTTGACTGACATAACTAATTCATTTGTTTCATCAAACAGCAACAACCAAAGTTCATGACCTAATACATAACATTCATACTTTATATTTTAGCTCTGAGTTCTCTTGTAAGCTGTTGCATTTAATATTTTCTAAAAAGTCAACTTCAACAGTCATTCGCACTGGTGCCTTCAGTTCTACAGGCTCTCCTTGAAAGTCAACAAGTCTGAATTGCATGTCTTTCAAATTATGAGGACTAATGCGAACCCATTTACCTAAATGAGTTGCTATGACAGGAACGTTTGGAATGAACATTGAATTGACTGCATAACAGAAGGATTTATATTCTACTGAACCTTTACTATTAACTCCTGAAATGCCTGTGACATTAGCTATTTTAGACTCAATGTACAAACAATTGCCATAAACATACATATGGAACAGATTTCATCTCAATCGTTTTGTCAACACTTTTCAAAGGAAATGTCATATGGTATGCACCCAAAAGAAGTTTGTACTCTATGACTCATTCGTGTTATCTTAAACTCCTTCGCATAACTGAACTTCAAAACTCCTGCAATAAGTTTAACATTCATTAAGTTTTCTTCGTTATCCTTGTTTATTGTAGTATTTATGAGAGCATTTAACACTCCAGCTAATGTTTCCATCTTATATTCTACATTATTGTGAAATCTTATTTCGTGCTTCTTTCCATCTATTTCAATCTCCATGAAATCTGTTTCACCTGTTATGACAAAAGTTGCGATAGTATTGAAGTCAAACATTCTGAATGCAAGCGCCTCATTCTGTAGACCTAAGTTTGTTTGTAGCTTTACTGTTCCGTATTCGTTTGGGTCTGTACTTTGCAAATAGAACAACATTTTATACTCATTAAAATATGAGTATAGCTGCATATGCGTATGAAGCTGACAGAGCTAAACGTTTATATTTTGGTCAATACTCTCTCACACTTACTGACAAATATATTGTTATCACTGATGGAAATACTGAGAAATACATAACATGGAAGGACTATGAAAAGTTTGACCCTATTTTAACTCCATGTACTATGCCGTTTATAAAGGACGGTGAAATTATTGAAAAAGATAATACAACCGTATATAGGTCTGTTTATGAAGCATTAGAATATATGTTGAATCATAACCCAAAAAGATTTGACCCAAGCACTACACCATGTGCAATGCCTTTTATTAAGGACTGTGAAATCGTAAGAGTTCCGGATTCAACGGTTCACAGCTGTTCAAAACAGTTTACAAAACATTTTAGCGAATATCTTTAATTCAGAAACTACAGAAATAAAATTACCGTATATAACAGATGCTAAAGAAATTAAATCAAAAACGACAACATTATTTACGTCACTTAATGATTTAATGACTTATATCATTAATATTCCTGCACCAACTACAGCATTTGATCCAAACTCGACGGTTTGCAGTGTACCTTTCATAAATGACAGTTCATTAATTACTTTAAGGGATTCGACAGTAAATGAATCATTAAAGGCGTCATTAATGAAAATCATTGATTTTAATTCATTCACGAATACATATAATTCATTCATTAATGTTTTCATATGCTTCTAAAGAAGGTGAGCCAAAAACTATTGATAAAGCGGTGTATGAAATAAAAGCATCAACGACGAAATTGAATTCGTTAACTTTTGACGGTGATAGTTTCGTTAATGACATAACATCGGGGAAAACAATTTTAACGAAAGAATACTTAAAATCTCATGTTAGTGAGTTCGTTGAAATTGAAAAAGAAGGTGGAATTAAGTTCGATCCACTGAATTTCATTTTCAGCTTAGCGAATGCGGGTGTTAGTTTCGCTGAATGGACAACTATACAGAGTGAAATAAATGCAATATGGACGTTTTTGGGGTCAAAAGCGGGAATGGGTGAGCTTGTAAATGCTGCAAGAACATTAGGTGAAACAGGAAATTTTGTAGATGGTTTTAAAAGACTTGTTTCAAATGTTTTAACAAACACAAAGAAATTATTTAGATATACCGTACATAACGGACGGATTTTCGAACAGATAGCAACAAACCCTCCGGTTATGGCTGCGTTGATGATGGTTAGAGATATAAAACCACGTAACGACGGGAACGAAGAACATGAACAACAGGATACTGGTCGGGTTATTCGAGACATTAAAAACGTGTATCCTGAAGTTATTGATTTATTTAGAGGAGTTAATGATTCAATTTCAAAACATTCTATAACCCTCGATGAAGAGAATAAATTAACAGATTATATATTCGTCATTATTGCAGAATTAATGAAGAGAATAAATGAAAAAGGAATTGGTGATATCATTAATGTCAGCGATGTAATGATGAAAAGAAATTTTGACTCATTATTTACAAAACCGAAAACAGAATATAGTCTTTATGACGTAATTACCGAATTAATGAAAAAGATTAATGATAATAAGAGTTCTGGCGGAAGAGTTGAATTAGAAGTGAATGATGTTAATGAGAAATTAGCCGAAAAAGCAGACAAAAATGAGCTTTTAGCTCTGAGTGATAAAGTCAAGAACCACGTTCATATATAACTTCAGACGAACAGATTATAACGGACTACCATGAATATTTAACACAGGATGAACAAATAAGCACTGAAGATGTTAATGAAAGAAGATATAAATACATTCGTGCTAAAGGTTATGACATAAGCTGTACTGTACATTATGACACGGGTAAAGCGCTAGAAGCATTTAGTTATAACGATGAAATTTATGCCTCTACTTTCTCTGTTAAAGGTGTATTAGTTGAACCAAGATTTACTTTGAGAGTTAAGTCAAAAATAACGTTTGAAGATGCTATTAAAAGTAAAGCTGACAAAGTTGAACTCGAAGCAATGAACAAAGTTTTGAAATCTCATAAACACAACATCTCCGATATAAATGAACTTCAAGCTACATTAGACAGTAAAGCCGACAAGAACCATACACATGAATCCTTCACTACTGTTAGAGCAGACGACATAATATTGAACTATACCCTTGGTTCAAGTGCACCTTTCGAGAATCCAAGTACAAGCGTAAAAGATACACTAAACTCCTTAAATAGTAAATGTATGAACATTGAAGGTCATGTCAGAAACTTTGAAACACATGAACTACCAGCAATGTTAGATAAAAAGCAGATAAAGAACATACACATAACTCCTTCTCAACTGTTGCTATAGAAAGTATTGAAGGAACGGTTGGCGGAACTGGTGGGATGCATTATATTATAAACCTCCTAACTTTCCACAAGGTTTAACATCGAATGAAAACATAACAACGAAGAAAGAATTAGCTGTAAAATGTTTATGTCATGGATGATGAAAATAATGTTAAATTCAGTGCTCAAGATTTATATGATAAGAAAGCAGACAAAACAGAGCTTCAAACATTAAAGACTGAAATACTTCAAACATTATATCCCGTTGGTTCTATTTATACGTCAATGAATTCAACAAATCCAGCAACAGTTTTAGGTTTTGGTACATGGAAGCAGATTGTAGACAAATTCTTATACTGTGCTAACTCTTCAAAGCAAACAGGGGGTTCGAAGAAAATTAAAGAAGCAAACCTTCCACCGCACACTCATACAGGAACTACAAACTTTTCTGGCGACCATAGCCACTCATTAAGAGACCACCCATTATACAACTCAGAGTATGAAGCTGGCCATGACGTTTTATCTCCATCTTATATACAATGCAGCAAAAAAGATTTTTCGACCAACTGAACCGGGAGGAAATCATGTCCATACTTTCACAACAAATCCAACAGGCTCGGGTGAAAATTATATGCCACCATTTGTGACTATATTCGCATGGTACCGCGTTCAATGAACGCGCTTGAGCCTAGAATAAAATCTTTAACTTTACATAAATGAGCTTGAAAGAAGTATTCGAACAACATCCATGGAGGTCATTTAAGAAGTTCAATGAAGCTGCAAAGAGTTGGGGATTTACTAACAGAGCTGAAGTGAAAAGGTTCTTTGACAAAAATGTTGTACATCAAACAAAAATAAAACCCTTACGACTGCTTTTTACCAATTTACTCCAACGCTCCTGACGCATACAATTTGACACTCTCATTCAAAGCAGAAAGGAGGACATAAACATTCCTCATCTTCATTAATGTTAATACTCGTAAAGCATATGCATATCCAATGAAAAATAAAGGAACTCGTGAAGTGTTAAGAGTTTTACAAAAGTTTGTAGCAGAACATAGCCCAAGTACTTTAACATCAGACAAGACAGTGCATACCTCAGCAATGAAATCACAGAATTTCTCATTAAGCATAACATAACTCACTACACTACTGAAGACATACCATAACATACTCGGCATCATAAACCGCTTCATAAGAACGCTCAGAGATTTAAACCAAGAGCGAGACTTTACCGAAGAAACAATGAAACATTTTCTCGAAGTATATAATTCCTCAACACATTCTACAACAGGACATACACCAAATTCAATGACACAACAACAAGAAGAAAAGTATATACAAAAGAAACGAAGCCAAACACAAAATATCAGAAATTCAACACAATTTACCCTCATTCCTGGTACAAAAGTTCGTGTAGTTCTTGACGACAAGCCGTTGACAAAGAAACGTTTAAGGTTAAGTAGAAACTATTATATCGTAGACTCTACGCAAGGTAATGGATATCTTATAAAAGCTGCTGACGACTCTATTGCGTTTTACCCTCGTCACAAATTAGTCGAAAGTAGTAATGGCAAACTTGCTGAAACCATTGACGAAGCAAAGCGAGGAGTGGTTATTGAAATACTTGGCTATAACATAAACGATGACACTTATAAAGTAAGATATGAAGGAGGCGTTGAAGATGTTATACCATCTAAGAACTTGAGAGAGTCAAAGCCAACACATCTGGGACCATTAGAGCGGGAGTACTGGAAAGACAAAAATAAGCCAGAAAGAATAAGAAAATTCTTCTAAACTTTTTCATTAGATGTAAATCAGACATGAATGAGAACAGTCATGATATCATTAATGTTTTCATAAATTTACACCAAAAATAATGTTTAGGTGAAGAGGTGAGATCTCACCCGTTTTTTCACCTCTTTTTTCACCCTCGCCGTTTAGCAGCTCAGATTGCTTTAGCTTTCTCGTGGATTTTCATGAATTTCCTTAAGATAGAAAAATAAAGTTAGTTTTATTTTTATTTATTTTTTTATTTTGTATAAAAGATATGATTTCAACAATCGGCACAACAACAATTCAAACAACTACAGCACCAAACTCGTTAGTCATGAATCCTACG